CTTACTGATACTCCTAGAGGGACACATCCAGACATAGAGACACTGATATAGAGAGAGATAGACAGAGAGAAACAGACACACACTCGCATGTTCTCAAATGCACACACACGCATCACTGATGTAGACACACATAAGCACTCCCATAGACATGCAGGGCCTAGTCAGGCACGTCTGTCCACCCTGCCACATCCTGGATCCCGCTTCCCCCAGAGCCAGAATGGAAGCCTCCCTCGGAGGGGTGGACATTTCCTCTGTTCCTAATGGCCGCCTCCTCAGAAGGGTGCCCAGTCTTTTGGAGAGAGGGAGGGAATGGACTGCTCCGAGAGTGAAGAGTAGGCCCTTCAGCCAGAGGAAGAGGGACTGCCAGATGCATCATCCTTCAGAGGGCCCTCTGGCTTTTGTCCAGCCCCTCCCTTCCCCAGAGTGAGATATCCACACAGCAGGGGGACATGCACTCAGAGCCCTGGCCTTCCTTCCAGACCACACACAAGAGCCTGGGACCCTGGAGCTCCCTGAGTCCAGGGCTTCTTCCTCAGATCATCCTCCTCAGAGGGAGAGAGGACCTCACTGCCAGCGCATGCACCTGGCCTGAGGGGTGGTCCGGGGCAGCTGTGTATGGGTGTGGAGGGCTGGATTGTCTGCTTCCAGGCCAGAGTCCTCTGCAGTGTGATGGGAGGCCGGAAGGAGAAGAGATGGGGGGTCATTACTGTAAACTTGGGTGGGGGTATCTCCCGCCAGATCACCACATTTCAGCATAGAACTCAGAGGAGTCCAAGAATGATAAATCCAAGCGTTGCCCCCATCAAAAGTCATTTTTGATGGTCTATTTTCCAAAGTTGGAGAATTAAACATTTTTATTTCAATGGTTTGTTAGTTTGACTTATAACCTTTAAATATTCAGTATACTTACACATATGGTACGTGGGCCTCCACTTGTATTCTTGTCCCTGGCCCTGCGCGTATTGAGAGCAGACCTGAGAGGCAAGAGCTGGCGCTTTTGGAAGGAGGAGAAAGGGAAGTGGCTCGGGGAGCCAAGGCAGCCTGAACCATGAGCCCCGGCATGGTGAGGCTGCTCTGCTGGAGCCGCTGTGAGCGGTGCCCCTTCCTTTCCAGATCACATTCAGGAAAGACCACCTGGAGGCCTGCCTCCTTGCTCTGGGGTGTGATGTGATGGCAAGGGAACGCAGCAACTTCGAGAGCTACTCCATGTGTTACGAGCATGTGCTGGAACATGCGAGGCTGAAGCTCTGTCAGAAGGAGCAGGTATGTCCCCCAAGAAGCAATGGGGAAGGTAGAGGAAGGGATCCTGGGCCACTACCTTCCCCATTGCTTCACTCTGAAGAAGAAAGTAAGACAGAGGGCGTGGAGAGGTGTTTTTATGTAAGAACTCAGGGTGGATGGCACGCTCTAAATTTCTCTTCTCATTGGCTCATTTTCTCCTGCTGGTATTCTCAGCCACAAAGGGATGGCCCCAGCAAGAGGGGGTTGTGTGGGTTGGAGGTGTCCAGTGGGGAATACAATAAGAGGTGAGCAACTAAGGAGCTGGCCCCCTGGGAAGAGGCATAGCTGACCTTCCCACCCTTGACAAACACAAGGCGCCTTGTGCTATTCTGGTCCAGCAGAGAAGCCAAGATCCTTGAGTCAATGCATCTTCAGGATGCATATCATGGGTCTCATGACTAGGCTTCCTTAAAATGAGGCCCCAAGAATCATTTCTTCTGTCCTAGATTGCACTCTTTTTGAAATGGGTTGCATTGGAGGTTCAGTGTAATTTTAGTGTATACCTAAAAAAAAAAAAAAAAAAGTGCAATGGTCTGAACAACGGAAGCATTAAAATATCAAATAATGAGTCTTGGCTTTGGTCCCCCTCGTGGCTTATCCCCACAGCTGAGTCCTCTGTGTCAGTGTGGACACCTGGGAGTGGATGCTGGCTTTTGATGCTGGACTGGGCATCCTGGCTCTGAGTGGGGTCCAAGGATCTAAATGAAGCTCCAGGAACACAAATCGGAAGTGTCTGGAGCTTATGGTACTGAACTGTGCCAGGGTTGGAAGAAAACATGTTTGAGCTTACTCATGCACTGCTTTCTTCTCTTCAGGAATTAGATATTTTAAGAAGAAGTCAGAGTCCACCTGAAGATAATGCCGGTCTGGTAGGTTGGTTATGACTAAAAAGTTTCTCTTCTCCCATTTCTCAATTCTGCGATCCCAGCAGTAGCCACACCCGGGACTCCCAATGAGGGTGTGCTGCAGAAAACCCAAGGGCTGGCGTTCACTTTTTAAGCAATGTGGGCTTTTTGTTTGTTTGTTTTATTCAGTATTTTTTGTGGGTTTTTTTTTTTTTTCCTTTTTGTTGTTACTTTTGCGTTTGGGAGAGAAGGGTTATTTGTTTTTTTGTGGTTTTTTTTTTTTTTTTTTTTTTTTTTTTTAGGCCAGTTAAGGTACAATTCCAAAGAAGGAGAGGTATTTAGGCTGAAATGTCCAGGGAAGGCCAGTGTGGACATGGTGGCCAAGATAGTTGAAATCTCTTCTCCAAAGGGAAAGCAGTTAATTGGTGTATCTTCTGGGGCTGTTCATTCAGCAGCCTTTTACTGAACACCAACTCTGTGTCTGGTACTGTTCTCTGACCCTCACACCCACCCAGATCCTCCCACCCACATGTGCACGACAGGACACTCACCTTCTCCGTTAGGCTGAACGTAGACGTGCACACTGGAGTGGCCGTGTGGAGTTCCCAAACCATCTTCCGTTCAAAGAGGGCGTTTCTGCCGCTAGGTTGCGGAGCTCAGTCATGACATGATCATGGAAATCACTGCTCTGAGAGCCCGACTCGCGGACTTGGAAGAGGGAAATCTGAATCTCGAAAAGCAAATCAGAAAAGAAGTGCAAGAAGAATATGAAGATTTAGTCAAAACATTGTTCACAGGTTGTTTACAGATGAAAGTAAGTGACCTGGGTCAGACACCAGGGCAGCCCTGGGGGGAGCGGGTGCAGCTGACCCCATGGGGGCTGCGCCCGGAGCTATTGAGACGACAGAATGGTCGTGAGAATCCTCCAGCTCAGCTTTCTCTACAGAGAACGAGTCAGCAATGGGTTGTCGTTATTTTACCAGAACAGACACTGAGCTTTAGGTAAATTAGAAATTTTCTCTTCTCCTCACGCTCCTGCCAGATGAGGGAAGAAGGGGGGAGTCTTCTTCTCCAATGTCTGTTAGGTGTGAGCATCCAAACAGAGGACATGCCCCCGGGCCGGGCCAGACCCCAGCAGGCACCTCCAGAAAGCTCGCTGGGCAGATTCAGAATCTGGATCGTCTTTCAAGATCTTTCCAGTCCTCAAAATGCCCACCAGCCTTTCGCTACCATCGGTGTCAGGGAGCGGCTGGCCCGTGAGTGAGGCCCGCTGGAAGAGGAGTGATGGGTGCCCGTGTGCTCACAGCACTGAGGAGGCCTGTCGCTTTCTCCTGACGCCTGAGCAGCTGTAAATGGAGGCCTGCGTGCCTAAACGGGTTGTCACAGAGCTTGGGCCAGCTGTCCCATGGTACAAAGTTCAGTTCAAACCCGCCGCCCTCCAGTCCACTGCCCCCCTCCCCGGAGCCATCAGACATTCCCAGAGCCAGCCCCACAGGTCCTTACCTATCTCTCTGGGGAGCCCGGCGCTGTCTGCCCCCGGCTTATTACACTGAGAGGAGCTTCTACGGATGCTCCGCCCTGGCCTGGTCATTCCAGAGAGGGTTGGGAATCCCTCTGACTTGTGAAGGGCCCACGGAGTACCAGGGCTTGCAAGGATTAAAGGATCAAAGCCAAAATGCGTGGGCCTGACGCTGCAGGGGAGGGGTGAGCAGACGGTGAGGGCTGGAATCCGCTAAGCCATCTTCCGAGTGTGAAATTGTTGAAAATGTCTTTTAAATTCTTTGTAGATTCTGCCCAATTCCTAGACAGAAAGTGGATTCAGTGCTTCTCCCAGGCTAAATTAATTCTATAAGCCCTCCCCCACTTCCCAAATTCTGCCATCGGGTTGACTCAGCAGAATCTGACCTGATAAAACACTGTGGATTAGTCACTGACAGGGAAGTCCCTACTCCACCCCAAGGTCTCAAGAAGGTGGTGAAGCTTTGTGGTGTGGCCAGCAGCCAGGCTCGCCATGTGGCTCCCAGCTGGGCACTCTCCTTCTGCCGTCCTCTCCAGGGAAGGGGTTCAAAGGTGAGAAGACTCCCTCCTCTCACCTTTAACTAAAAAGCATTGGGTTACCAGTGATCCAGTCACTTCACCATAAGCCATTCCGAATGGGCTGCTTTTCGGTGAGATTTCTGCTGGAGCCTCACTAGGAAGCAGCCAGCCTGGTTCCTTCCTCTGCGCTATTTATTTTTAATGGCCTTCCCCGTTAGTGACTAATCCACCGTGTTTTATCAGGTCAGATTCTGCTGAGTCAACCTGATAACGAAAAAAAAACCTAAATTTAGCTCAGCTGGCATGGCTCAGTGGTTGAGTATCGACCTATGAACCAGAAAGTCACGGTTGGATTCCCAGTCAGGGCACATGCTTGAGTTGCAAGCTTGATCTCCAGAGTGGGGCCGATAAGAGGCAGCTAATTAATGATTGTCTCTCATCAATGATGTTTCTTTCTCTCCCTTCCTCTCCCTCCCTCTCTGAAATCAATAAAAATATGTATTTTTTTTAATCCCTAGCTTTAAATATCTAAATAACCACTTGGGTTGGGGGGGGGGGAGGAGAGACAGTTTTCCATCTGTGATCTCCCACTCTCCTGCCCACTCACCTTGCCTTGGTGTCAGACAGCTAGGCAGGCTCTTAGGTGGTGAAGCTCTGCGGGTTGAAGACCACACTAACGGGGCTGCTAGAGCGACATCCGGGTAATCCCTGATGAAATCATTGGGTGGGTGGGTGCTCTTTTTCGTGTGAAATCATTTCTGAAAGTTGCATTTTAGAAGGCAAAAAGCACTCTTCCCCTACTGCCCTTCCTGAACCTGAGTCGGCGATTTGCAGGAGATGTTGCGTGAGAATCAGCTTAATTTGATCCAGAAAGTGTGTGAGCTCATCAGCGAAGTGAGAGCAGAATGGATGGATCACATGAAGGACCTAAAGAAAAAATGGGGCTCGGCCAGACCCGATGAAGGAAGGAAAGAGAGCACAGCCAAAGTATGTGATTTCACTTAGCAACGGGATATCAGCACTCCCTCCAGCATCTGACCCCACCGCTCACTCTGCATTCCAGGCGGGTTCCCCTGGGAGTGCGCTAGGCTTATTAAAAGGGCACAATTGTGTTGTCTTCTGGAAGGCATGTTTCTGACGTTAGGGTTCACGCTCTCCCAAGAAGAGGGCTGGGGGCCGCCTTTTCTGAAACTCAGCCTTCTTCACAGGAGCAGCTACGGGACTTGGAGCAGGAGAACTGCAGCCTGGCCGCCCTGGTGTGCAAAGCCAGGCGCCTGGGCCGCTGGAGGCTGGCTGTGCAGCAGGCTCGCTTCCAGGGCCAGCTGACCAGGGCCCAGAAGGTGAGCGATCGCGGGGGTGGAGAGGGAGGCCTGGCCTTGGGGGTGGGCTGAGGGGGGCTGGACTGCAGCTGCTCTGACCATCTTAAAGGATCCGACAGTAGAGCATTTTTCCAGGGAATGGGCGATGTCAGAGCCTCAAGGGAAATAGGAAAGAGCCAGAAACAAAGGGCAGAGAAGCAAATGGGAACACAGATCGGAGTTTAGAGCTTGGAAAGGGAAAATATGAGGAGAGAACTTTACCAAAGGCTTGAGGCAGCATTCTGCAAAGCGCTACAGCCCTGGCCAGCTTGGCACCGAGGGTAGAGTGTCCGCCTACGTACCAAAGGGTCACGGGTTTATACTCTGGTTTCTCCTTTTAGATCGCATAAATCTTTCACCTTTTACAAAGGGTCACTGGTTTGATTCCCTGGGGATCGAGGGCAGTACCTCAGGTGCAGGTTGGATCTTGGGGCACGTGGGGGAGGTGCCCATCGATGTGTCCCTCTCACGTGGATACTTCTCCCTCTCTCTCTCTCTCCCTCATCCCCTTCCACTCTTTCTAAAAAATCAATGGGGAAAATATCCCTGGGTGGGGATTAACAAATAAACCAAAAAAAAAAAAAAAAAAAAAAAAGCTTCAAATCTTTGAGGGTTTTAAACATGCTTGTCTGAGGGAAATGAAGTAACACTATCATAAGTGGAAAATCCGCGTTAAGGTAAATTGAAAGTCTTCCCTCCGGTCTGTCCTCTGCTGCCTTACCTCAGCCTTTGAAAGAGCAGCGGGTGGCGGGTGGCTCTGAGGCTGAGCATGAAGCTGAAGTGGGAAGGACACTCACTTCCTGTTTCACTGTGTTTGGGGTGTCCACAGGAGGCTGCACAAAGTAAAAAGGAGTGTGTGAGCGCCAAGCTGATGGCAGAACAAGAAGTGGTTTTATTTCGCCAACAGCTACTGGCCCTGAGGCAGGCCCTGGCCCGGGCTCAGGCCCGCAACGTGAGGATGTGCGAGCAGCAGGAGAGCCAGGTATCGGAGCCCCAACCGGCTGGGCAAAGCTGAGTGTGGCCCTGGAGGCCGCTGGTGCTGCCTGGCAGTCACCGGGCTCCTCACAAGCAGAGGGCGCGACCAGAGAGAGATGGCTGGGGTCTCTCTCACCTTCCTTCTCCCTCCTTTCCAGCCCAGAAACCAAGTGGGCTGGAAAGGAGGGAAACCAGTGGCCAAAAGGCTTTCGTTCGTATTCACCTTTGGCTTAGATGGTGAAATGTTACTTATACAAAAGATTATTTTTAAGGGGGTGGGGCTGGGGGATGGGGGATGGGGATGGGGGCATGGTTCTCTGATGATCTTTTCACCCAAGGGGTCTGGGTCTCTGCCTTGAATCCGATCCTTTCATCTTCCAAGCATGCTTCCATCAGAGTGTGGCCAGCTGTCAGCATTAGGCCCCAAGCAGACCTTCCAGTCCTTTCCTGATGACCCACACCAAGTCTTCATTTCAGACGTTTCTGCTGCTTAGTAGGGACGGGCACAAAAATGACAGTGTTTCCTAATAACTGTGCTGACCCCCTGAGCATGGAGCAGAGACCCCGGGTTTAGAGAGAGAACGGCTACGTTTCAATAACAGCCTGGGAAAGCTGGGCATGTTTAAACCAAGAAATATGATTTGTTCCTTTTGGATTCTACTTCCTCCACCATTGTACAGCAGGTGATCACGGTGTATAATTATGTAAAGTCACCATACAAGTTACAGTAAGCCCTCACTTAACATCATTGATAGGTTCTGCAACTTTAAGCAAAACCATGCATAGCAAAAGCAATGTTAGCATGGGCTAATGAATAGAAGCAAGATTTAAGTCCAGCCGAAACCGGTTTGGCTCAGCGGTAGAGCGTCGGTCTGAGGACAGAAAGGTCCCAGGTTCGATTCCGGTCAAGGGCATCTACATTGGTTGCAGACACATCCCCGGTAGGGGGTGTGCAAGAGGCAGCAGGTTGATGTTTCTCTCTCATCGATGTTTTTAACTCTCTATCTCTCTCCCTTCCTCTCTGTAAAAAATCAATAAAATATATATTAAAAAAAAAAAAGATTTAAGTCCTAACAGCATCTCATCGACGTTATAATGAAATGATGATGGACAAAACAATGTTACTTGAAGACCTGCTGTATTAGTCATTGTTAGTAGTGCTATAATTAAAGGCTGACCATATGGTGCTATTGATTAGAATAATTTCAGAACAGAACCAAATTATGACTACTGTTTCCTTCTTTAACCATCTGGAATCTGGCTTCCCCGAGGCTATTTTGGAAACCCACGTGAAGGCCAGGGTAGGTCCTCCTTCCCCACTCATTGCATGTCTTGGATCGCCTGTCTCCCCAGCTTACCCCCGCTCTCTCATGATAAATGCTCAATGATGTTACAGCTGCCGTTTATGATAGATATAACTATTTGGTTATTAAGCTAAGTAACGTACACATTATCATCAAATTCTGGTATTAAAAGACCAAGTTATTTGATCTGGTGTGGCTGGATAGTGGCATTATCACTTGCTTGGCCATGATTGCTATTATTTTTGTCTTGTGTTTGCCCTGACTGTCGCCTTGAGGCTCAAAGTAAATGCCACGCCCACCTCCTGATAGTGTTGCAGCTGGGCTGTCGTACCCTGACCCGAGGAACACTCCACACAGTTCTGCCCCGGCCCTAATGGAGGTCCCCCCAACTTCTAGATCCCTGCTTTGTGCTGAGAAGAACCTGTGCCTTTCTCATTTCCTTTGGCCTTTTCCTTCCTCAGGCTCGGTTGCTGAAAGAGTTGGAACACAAAATGACCCAGGAATCTCTCCACCGGCAGCAGCTGGATTTACTGAAAACCTCCAGCATGGAGAGGCTCTTGGAAGATGTGGAGCAAAAGGAACAGCACCTGCAGCTCCTCGCTGAAGAGGCCGAGCGGGCTGCTAGACGGGGCCAGCTCCAGAGGAGGAAAACAGAGCGAGAACTCCAGCAGGTAACTCCAGTGAGAGGGAGCCACAACTGGGAAGCAGGTCAGGCTGCCACAGCAGAACTGGTCCCTCTTCCCGCCTTTTCCATGCCTCTCATGCCCCCGAAGGCAGTGCTCCTTCACCTTTGTCACTTCTGGGCCCACCAAGAAATGGAAATATTTATGCCCACCCTGGGCGATTGATTGTTCAAGCTGCTTGTGTGAGAGATGATGACTTGCCTACCGCAAGGCCCAGGATCTTGGCACCTTTGTAACCCACTTGAAAAACACGTTCCCACCTGGTTCTAATACTTGCCTTGAACCAGGTATCCTTTAGAAAAAATCATGCAAAACCAACAAGTATTATGGAGGGTGGATTCCTGCGAGAGCCTTTTAATATATTTTTATTTATTTCAGAGAGGAAAAGAGAGGGAGAGAGGACTAGAACCGTCAATGATGAGAGAGAATCCAAGTCCTTCGTTTGAATTACCTCATTTAATCCTGCACACCCCACATCAGGGATCGAGCCCACAGCCCAGGCATATGCCCTGGATGGGAATCGAACCTCAACCTCCCTGTTCACAGGTCAACCCTCAATCCCTGAACCATGCCAGCTGGGCAGCAGTGGTTTCTTTAATCTACCGCTAACCTTGACTTCCAAAGGCAGACTTGGACCCATCTTGGAGAGTATGCATGTGCTTGCCTACTTCCTGCTCCTGGGGAAGTCATTTAGGGCACAGACTGCTTGGTTTACACCCCAGACCCCAGCTGTGTGACTTTGGATAAGGTCTATGGCTCTAGTTTCCTCATTGGTGCAATGGAGAATAATGTACTCACCTTATGGGGTTAGGGGAGGATTAAATGAGGTCATTCAAATGAAGCACTTAGAACAGGGACTGGCACAGCTGTCTATAAATATCAGCTCTTTGTCTTTTTGTTGGGAATATGAAGATGGACAGCTTTGGAAGTAGGTAGACAGACCTGGCTTCAAATCCTTACTCTGCCACTAACTGGTTGTGTGACCTTGGGTAAGACACTGCACTAACCTCGATTAAGTGGAGGTGGGAAGTGCGGACACATTATTAAGCATGTTTCTTTCCTTTGCTAATATTTTTCCAATTGGTTTAGCCAGGCCTGGCTGAGGAAGACTTACATTCCTGGGTTGGCCTGGGCCTACACTCTCCCCAGGAAGCCTAAAAACTAATGTACGCAGCACCAAAAAGCACCTCCGCTTCCCAAGCACTCTCCCCTCAGGTGAGAAGGCAGCTTGCCCAGGAGCACAGCATGAAGCTGGGTGCTTTCCAGCGTGTAGAAGAGCTACAAACACGTTTCCCCTGGCTCCCCGGCCCCTCGTGGATAATGAGGATCCCACACAAATCCCCACAGTCCATAGAGGAACCTTAGGCCTAATTTATATTAGGTCGTTTTCCTACCTCTGAGGGTCTGATCATCGACGGAAGTCAAAGTACAAGGAACCACCACCCTTACCATTTGCAAGACAAGCCTATGGTCACAGCTCTGCAAGGTTAGGGGCCTTTGGCTGCGTGTCTAGAGACAGAAATTAAACATACCGTGGAATTTTTGAGATTAGCATGTGTATTCGTTTGCCTCTGGGTGTGGGCCTTCCATGAGGGCCCCAGGCTTCCCTGAAGGTGAGGAGCCGAGCGGAGCACAGAGGTCTGGGGAGATCGGCTTTCCTCTGCTTGAAAACGTGCAGGGGCTCCTGCATCGGGGTCCTTGGGGCAGGTGCATGGCTTGGCCTACAAGGTCCTCTTCCTCCCTCTCCCCCTGGTAAAATAAACATAAAAGACATAACTTTGTGATTAAACACCTGACTTTATAAGGTAATAAGGGTTTCCCAGGGCTGCCTCTGCTCCTTTTTGGTTCAGTTCTTGGCCTTCCTGGAGCTCTTGATGCTCACAAGGCCGAGTTCAGCCTGACCAGGACTCGTGAAGACTAGCATTCCTGGGGTGGCCTGGACCCACACTCCCCTCAGGAAGCCGGGGAACTAACATACGCAGCACCAAAAAGCACCTCCGCTTCCCAAGCACTTTCCCCTCAGATGAGAAGGCAGCTCGCCCAGGAGCGCAGCGTGAAGCTGGACGCTTTCCAGCGCGTGGAAGAGCTCCAAAGTCAGCTTACTGACGCTGCGAGGTCCTCTGTCCCGATGAGCTCACCCGGAGGTAAGCACAGGCACTGCTCTGGCCAGAACAAGCCCCCAGGGCCCCAGGTCAGAGATGAAGGAGGGCCCCAGGGATTAGCTATAACTACTCAGGGGCTATTGAGTGGGTACGCCACGATCCTTGTTGAATGAGTGAATGATACATGAATGAATAAACCTTTGTTCTGATTTGCAGGCAGAATTTTCTACTTTAGTTCCCTTGAGTTACTGCCATCCTACATTAAATGGTTCCAGTCATAAAAACTGGTCCCAGGAGAGTGTAGCCTGGTGATTGAGTGCAGAGGCTTAGAGTGTACCCCCCTAAGAACATTGGGTCTTTCACTGGGTTTTGAAGCATCTCATTGCCTTGGGATATTAATGACCACCTTTCTGAGATGATATTCATAAAGTCCACTCTGATTCTTGGGTGCTGGGAACTTGAGGAGTTTTATGGAAATAGCACAGACCTCTGGGCTATGCCGCCCACAAGCAGCATGGAACCGACGGCAGACCCCTGGGTGTCTCTACACTAACTTCCTCCATATAAGATGAGGACTAAGTAAAGTCCAGGTTCTCTGAGCCCTTACTATCGGAAATATCACCAAATGCCATCACCATGACTCACCTCTTAAGATCAGCCATGCCTCTTCATTTCTGTTCTGCAATGTAGCCTGGTGATTGAGTAAGATAACCAAGATTCAAACCCTGTCCCCCACACCTCCAGCTCTGTGACCTTAGATAAGTTAGTTAGCCACTTTGTAAAATGGGAATCGCTACCTCAGAGGGGCACTGTGAGGATTAAATGGCATAAGGCACGTCTGGCACACAGAATAGATAGTATAGAAGCACTGAGTGTGCAAATGCCGGTTACTCCACTCTCATCCTGTGCTGTACTTTTATGTTTCCTGCTGGCTACTTACCAGTGTGGATGATGTGAGCAAACACAGCCTTTCTGGAGCAGAAAGATCCGTCTCAAAGATCAAGTTACTTTGGGTTTACTGAGAGCAGGGCTGGGCTTGTCGGTAAAGCCCAGGGCCCTCGCCCTGCCTCTGTGCCTGCTGCCTGGGCCCTGACAGCGTCCCTGGCTCCAGCCACCCAGTCTAAAGAGGAAGAACATCAAGAACATCCAAGGGCCCTATTTTGGCCACTGGCCCTGAGTGTGACACCGTCCTTTCCACATGCCCTGGATTTTTGTTTCTCTGCCTTTTTGACCCCTTTCTGGGTTAATGTGTGTCATGTAACTGCCACCCTGTCCTTCAACACCTGCGTAATTACTAAGGAGAGCCACGGGGCATGAGGAGGGTGGGAGAGCCCTAATTCCCAGGACTGGAGATGTAGCAGGAGGAAGAGACCCTTTTTCCCAGGAGGCGGAGAAGTCAGGCCCCAGGCTCGCCCCCATCTGTGCCCCTCTGCAATGACAGGAGGATCGGCTGAGGACTTCCTACCTGTAGACTCGAGGGGAGGGACTGGGTCATACCTGTCTGTTCAGTGCCCAGCACTCCAAGGGGACGGGTTCCTATCACCCACAACACCAGAGCCACAGGGTGAGTCAGTGGGCAGAGTGAGGTCTCTCCTTTCTGCAGGGCCTGCAGCAGCAGCCTCCCTGCTCCCCACTTCAGAAGCCAAGCCTTGGTGAAGGAGCAAACTCTCCCAACTTGGCATTAACATGGATTCCCCTAGCAACTTGCAACTCCTGAGGAATTATCACTTGTACCAGCACAGTAATTCTCAAAACGCTTCAGGGGATAAAAAGGAAATCAATTGACTCACAAAACTGAGATAATCAGAAGTGGACTGGCTTCAGTTATTTTGATGAAGGTTGGAACTATTCCTTAGGACTGGTTTCTCTCCCTCCATTGCTGGGATCTGAGAATGCTGAGAGCAGAAAGGAATGCTGGGAAGCAAGACGCCTCCTCTTCTTCTCCGCGCCCCGGTTCATAGCATCCATCCCCTGTACAAGCTCAGGTAGCAGGAATAGGGTGTGGAGATGGGACAAAAATAATTGGGCTCTAACTGGGCTATGCACCCAATTCTTCATTTTATTTTTATTTTTTAGAGGCAGAGGGAGGAAGAGAGGGAGAGAGAGAAACATTGATGTGAGAGTGCAACATTGATCAGCTGCCTCTCGCACAACCCCTACTGGGAATGGAGCCTGCAACCTTTCAGTGCATGGGACAACATCCAACCAACTGAGCCACACGGGCCAGGGCTATGTGCCCTTTTTATTTATTTTTATATTTTAAATATATATTTTCAAATATGTTTTTTAAAAGAGGAAGGGAGAAGGATAGAGAGATAGAAACATCATCGATTGGCTGCCTCCTGCACACTGTCCACTGGGGATCGAGTCCCATCCTGGGCATGTGCCCTGACCAGGAATCAAACCCGTGACCTCTTGGTTCCTGGGTCACCACTCAGCTCCTGAGCCACATGGTCAGGCTATGTGCCCAATTTTAAACAAAGCACTTAAGACAGAGACTAAGCTGCTTGATGGGCTTCGGCTCAGTTCACACAGTTTTCCCCTGGAGCCGAGGATGGTATCAGCCTACTACCTCCTCTTTGCAGCAATTATTTTAAATATTCCTGGTCTTCAGACACTATCCTTCTCACCCATTACACAAAGAAGTTACAAGCCTATCAGATGAAAACTCCCTCAACTTCTTGTCCCCAGCCTACCTACATCCACACTGCTGTTAAAATGAAAAAGGTGCCCTTCCCTTCCTCTGGCCAATCCTGATCCCATATGCTCTCCTACCTTCTCAGGGACCTTGAACTCATCTTTATCTGCTTCCTGGCTACACATCTATCCGTTTCCCACACATCTATTCTTCTAACCTTGTAGTCAGCAATTACTGAGCATGTATGTGCCAGGATCATAAAATCCTTTGTAAAATAAAATTAACATCTATCCAGTTGCTTGAGCCAGAAATCTGGGAGATCTTCTACCTCACCCTGCCAACCCAGTTAATGACTAAGTCCTACCAACTTGAAGATCTCTCAGCCTGTCCGCTTCTCTACACAACAGTGTAGAGAAGTCACCCATCAACCCCTTCTCATTCACTCGGTCATGTTACCCTTAGGCAAGAGACTCTACTCCAGGTTTTGACATTTTTTTACTCAAAATTAATGAAGCTGGGTTATATGTCCATTTTAAGCTTTAAAATTTTATGAGTTACATCTAGGTCTGTACATTGCAATTAGAGATATAATTTAGCATTCTTAACATTATAGGCCTTATACCCCGGGCTCCGTACTTCCTCAGTTCTGCTTCTGCATCATCCAGATACTCTCAGCAAGACCTTCTAAAGACTAGTCTTATGGGCAATAAAATAACAAGAAGGATTCAGAGGCCAAAGACTGTAAGTAATGATAAATTTGAATATATATATATGAAACAATGAAAAACGTAGATATGAAGTTATGGTTTTAGGGTCACTTCAAACTTACATTAAAAATTACATGTGAGAATCTTATCTGTGGTAGGTGCTTACTTAGGTCTGGATAATAGGATTTGTCCATCAATTGCTGCCAAATCAGTACTTGTGGAGGGAAAGAGGGCCCAGGCTTCCTACTCTATGGTCTTGCTGGTGTCGTTCCTCAGTAATAAAATTCTGATATTGAAGTTAGTACTCCTGAGAGCACTTAATTACAGTTCAGTCAATACGTGTAAAAGTCAGTCATGTTCTGCCTCTCAATTTCCTCTCCTTTTTTCACTCATTTACAATAATCAACTATAGTACCCTGTTTCCCCGAAAATAAGACAGTGTCTTATATTAATTTTTCTCCCAAAGTTGTGCTAGGTCTTATTTTCAGAGGATGTCTTATTTTTCCATGGGCTAGGTCTTATTTTCGGGGAAACACAGTAGCATCAGATTCCTTATCTGAGTTCCCCAGCAAAACAGAGTTTCAGAAGTCAGTTTAACACACATGAGAAATCTGCCCTCCAAAGAAATTCTTGGAATGCATATTAGCTTGAGGTATAGCATATACGTGAAGATTTACTTAAAATATTTCAACTTTTAGTTCATGTGAAGCAGCATTTACATCCTCATCCACCGCCTTCTTTGTACCACCTGAATATACATTACACTCTTTGCTCCAATGTCTTTCAGGATCCCCATCCCCACTCCCACCTAAAGATTTACATACCTAAAGAATTCTAAGTGAAAAGAATTCAGAGAAAGACAAATGGCACATGATTTCACTTACTGGTATATGTGGACTCCAAAGAACAAAATAGATGAGCAATCAAAACAGAAACAAACGCATAGATAGGAAATAAACTGATGGCTGCCAGGCGGGATGTGGGAGGAGGACTGGGCAAAAAAAGGTGAAAGGGAATGACCAAGTACAAATTAGTAGTTACAAAATAGCCACTAGGATGTAAAGTGCAGCATAGGGAACATGTAGTCAACAATATTGTAATAACCACATATGGTGTCAGGTGGGTACTAGACTTATGGGGGTTGATCACCTCGTAAGTTATATAAATGTCTAACCACTATACTATAATATACACCTGAAACTAATGTACTATTGAATGTCAACTGTAATATTTAGAAAATAAAAAGTATTTTTAAAATTTTTCTTCTTTTACCGTGAGAAAAATTAAAGAAAAACATTTCATCATTCGGTTAGAGAAAATATGCTCTTGTAAGGCCACTTGTGAAGGTATAAATGTTGTGGGGTCGAAATCTGGGTTCAAAATAAGACCACTGGAGGCTGATGATTAATTTAAAAAAGCAGGCAAGGATTTATTGAAATAAAAACTGGCCAGGACAGCCGCGAGAGCACCACTCACAGGTGGTCTCCACACGACTGCACCGTTTCAGGGGTAGGCAGTCCCTTTTAAAGGTTCAAACCACAGGAATTTTCTTTTGTTCTAAACTTTAAATCCTAAAGACTACATTCTAAAGACTGGGATCAGCCCACAGGGTTGATGCTAGTCACATCCTGCTGGACAGTAGAATGTGGCCCTATCTTGCGATAGCCGATAACACAGAAGCAGAGCTCAGCAGTTAGTCTCTAAAGTTATCTACAGTTTCTATCCCTGAAGCTACTGAGCCAGTGGGAATCAATCTCCTGTGGTCCTGGTCCCAGGCAAGGGAAAATTGCCTTAGCCCCCAGGTCTCCACCTGGAAGCTGAGGTAAGTATTCCGTGTTTAATCAGGCAGGAGCCAGACTTAGCAGGGTTAAAATTCAAACAGCAGTTTTTACCAAAGTATGGTTGCCACTATATTTCATAATTCTATGGCTCACATCTAATTATTGGACCAAATGTTTGTTGCAGTATTTCTAAACATGCAGTTCAGAGGCAACACAGAGAAGGAAAAAACAGGTCAGGAACAAACCCAATTGAGACCCTTGACCACGTAGGGCCACATTAATGCCCCTCGTTTGCTTGACTCACCAATCTCTGTGGAGTCATCTTTGACCAAACGTGAAATTCTACTATATATCTATATTTTTCTGAGAAAGCCTTTTCCAAAGGGAAGCAACATTTAGGTGTGTACGGGACCACAAGGGCTTTTAAGATGAACCCCATCCCCATTTCCCTCCACAAAGCGAATGTGTCTACCGTGGGAGATCACAACCTTGTGGTTCAGAACGCTGCAAAGTAAGTAAATGCATTAGTGGGGACCACTCTGTGTGAGATTTAGAAGGATGATGTGATGATCTAAAGCTAATTGTGGCACATTATACTACTGAAGAAATAAATCCTAATGATGAAGAAAGTACCCTGTGGACCCCTGGCTTGTGTGCAGTATAGAGATCCCATGCATAAAGCCGAAGGCCCAGGCAAGGCAAAAAATTACTTGGAACCTCTCCAAATCTATGTAAGGTCTGACTTCTGAAGCAAGGCTATGAGACAAGTCAGATAAAGACAGATTGAGAGCACTGCATTAACACAAATGATAAAACATTAAGGAATTTTTAATTACTCCAAATATGGGATATCTTTTTTTTCTTTAGCAGGAAATGGCTTTCCACTGATGGATCCATTCTTCACCAGTCCCCTTTGTGACAAGTGGCAAAATATGTACAAGAAGTGATCTTGGTCTCTTTAGTGACAGTGACTTTTAATGATGCTATAAGAATAATTCATCATCTTCCTTAAAAGCTCCAATATCTATTTAATATTTATGTTGCAGGTACCTACTAAACACAAAAAAAGGCCTGACGATGTCTTCCTACCCAGTGTGTCAGAAAATGTTCAATTTTCAGCTTTTCAAGTTCAAACAGCTCCATCTAGAATCCCATTTAGACCTGACTGGTAATCATAAATCCTTTTCCAACTTTTATTTCTATAAGCACTTAAATAAAAATGATTCTAAACTCCATCAAACCTTTGATCTAACATTTCTTATCAGTACTGTGAAGACAGTGTAGAAGATTTGCATGATTATGCCTCGAATGTCCCAGGTGAAGTAGGACTAGGACTTGGCCTTAGATTTTAAAACTTAAGTATTGGTTTGCATATCTACCAAGTGGGACTTGCCTCTGGCCATCCAGCAGCCTCAAGATCTGGGTTCTAGAAACACTGACTAGATGAAAGAGTCAGGAGAGAGGACATTGCTACTAAGCAGTATTTACTAACAAGTGGAAAACTTAAATAGATCAGTCCAAATAAATTTCAAAGCGCCTATTTCTATTTATTTCACTTAAGAACATCATTCTCTAACAGGCTTTTTGTTCCTCTACAAATGCCAAATTCAGATTTTTATAAATTTCTAACCCACGTCTTCTATTCAGACAAGAAAATCTATCTTGGTTAAAATAATAAATAACTAGATGAATGGAACAGAACAGAGAAACATATTTATTTACATAAATATATATATATATATATTTTTTTTTCATAATTAAGAAGGTTGAGTCTATCTGAAGTGGGCTAAATCATCACCTTACACTATACACAATGAATTTCGAATGGATTAAACATCTATATGCACATAGACATAGACACAAATTTATTTCTGAAATATATAAGAAACAAAAAATCCAAAGGAATATTGATGACTTTGATATCAAAGCTAAAAATTCAACAGGACAAGGTATGGCACCAGTTACCAATTTACAAACCTCTCCGCTCCAAATTCATCTTTGTCTGCTGCAAAATAATTAATATGGACCCTGTAAATATTTCTTCTCTGCCAACTGGCAAGATGTTAAGCTTTGTCGGTAGAGGGTGCTGGGAGGATCCTGGAGGAGAAAGAAGGGTTTCTCCCCCGGGGTCTCCTTTGGGCTTCTGCAATGCCCTAATCCAGTGAATTCCTACAATTGTTTTCTTTTTTTTTTTTTTTTTTTTTTTTTTTAAAATATATATTTTATTGATTTTTAACAGAGAGGAAGAGAGAGATAGAGAGCTAGAAACGTCGATGAGAGAGAAACATCGGCCAGCTGCCTCTTGCACACCCCCTACTGGAGATGTGCCCACAACCAATGTACGTGCCCTTGACCGGAATCGAACCTGGGACCTTTCAGTCCGCAGACCGACGCTCTACCACTGAGCCAAACCGGCTTCGGCCCTACAATTGTTTTCTGACCTCATTGTTGAAGGGGTAATTGGGATTCCCCTTTCTATCAAGAGAGTAAACCAGAAGCAATACTTCAGTCCCTGGAGAAGCTGCAGAGATTACCACCAAAAACACTTGAAAGCAAGCAAGGGTGGTGGGCTCTCACATCACATCTTCATTCACCACTTTGGCCTATGCAGAAAATTGATGGATCTTGGAAAATAACTAGGGACGACCAAACCCACACCTTAACCAGGTAGTGATTCCAATTGTAACTGCTCTCCCAGATGTAGTATCTTTACCTAGAACTTTATATACAATGAAAATATCTTTCAAAAAACAAAGGCAGACACACAAAAACTGAGTTAATTAACAATATCTGTACCATCATAACTAAAAATATTAAAGGTTAAAGGACAATCTTTAGGAAGGAAATACCAGTAGCAAAGTAATGGAGAACACAAGAAATGGTAATTACATGGCTGCCAAGTACACAGGACTTTTTATTATCCAAAAAAAAAACAACAAAACTATTTTAAGCCCCATTCTTACCAAAAGTTAATTTTTCTATAGCAAAATTATTAAATCCAATCTTCTGGGCTTTATGATATACAGGGGAGTCTTCTCTCTTCTTAGTCTAAATTCTGGGATGTAATATAGAATATAACCTTGGCCAAAACATGGGCCAAAAGTACCAAACTTCACGTACTAGTCATGTGGCTTGATACTAGATATTTATACAAAGTACTCTCAACAGAAGCCCAATTTTACTCTACATGCAATCTAAACTAAAAGGCAGTTCAAGCTTTTAGTTTTATAACCAATGTCAGTTTCTTGGTGGAGTTTAAGTGGATGATTTCTATTGATTTGTGGAAGATCTTTGCACATCACTCAACAGGCATACAAAGTCATCCCTCCAACTATCATTTCTAAGGCTCTGTTCTCCACTGAAAGAATAATTTAGTTACTAACTGCTGGTCTTGGGGAGCAACAGAAATTGAGTAGACACCCATCTTCAAACCAAGTTATAATGTAAATTCACTAGCATTAACTGTCAAAATCAAAAAGCAAACACACACTTCAGTTCATTAAAAAGGACAAATCAATTCAATAAACATGTAGATTTATTTTCAATCAGTTTGGTACATGATACAGATTGGTTTTGTAGTTTTTCATGAACTAAAATAGAAATTTCTAAATACAGCAGTGTCTGCCTGTACACAAATATTTTAAGATAAAATAAAGTATTTTGATAGAACTACAACTGCATAAAATAATCAGATGAAAAATCTGAAAAGGTTTCTATATACCTTCTGGATTAAAAAACCCAAAAATTATTAATGACTCCAGAAACTAAATTGCTAAAGGAGGGAAAAAGGCTGTGAGTTTGGTTGTAAGAGCTCTTTTTGCAAAATCTAGCTTCAAGTGATATCATTTTGAGAGAGCAGTATTCAAAAGCCAATTTCACAAAAATTGCTGTTGTGTTGACATTAATGTGTGCCAAGGTATTCATATCTAGGTAAGTATCTGTAGCCAATTTTTGCCACTTTGGAAGAATGGAAATTCTGCATACTTTCAAATAAATTTTGCATCTTACAGTACTCACTAAAAACTAAGCCATGGCACCATAATACAATTTTTGTGAGGTACCTAGAATATTACTAATGAAAACAAAAATGTGAGGTAAACCTACCTTTTCCCCAAAACCTTTGAAGCCAGAGATTTTAAACAATTAAGGCACTTGAAAACATTAGGTGTACGTACAAATGTGCAAGTAAAACAAACTTTAGCTGTACCAGTAACTAAGAAATAAGTAAATCTTCATTAAGAATCTTTAACATAACTATTTAAATGTAAGGAATTTTGGCTTATGAAATGGACCTAAGCAACTTGTCATTTCCTACCATAAAATATTGAAAACCAAGGGCTAAACTCAGCCACTATAGGCTAAAGAAACTAAAACAACTTTAATGACCTAAAAAAGCAAAATCTCATTTTAACCTAATTTAAGCCTTTGAACTAACCCAATGTGTCAAAGGCAGGAGGAAGACTTATCCCTCTAAAACAAACAAACAAAAACCTAGTGCTTTCTAAGAAAATGAAAGAAATAAAAGTGTGCATGCTTACTATACTAGAGAAGTATGAAGAGGAAGGAAAAAAGAAAGCTCAATCTGTTTATCAAGGGCAATCATTAAAAATCTACAGTAACCTGATCAACCAAAAATCCTTGAGTTTCTGAAATTACAATGGTCACATTTGCCATCTCAAAACTTAAAATAAAATGAAAACAAACAAAAAAACAACTTAAAATGATTGTCTCATTTAAAGAGTTAGTAAATGATTCTAAAATAACTGATTATTTCCTTCTTGCCTCATGAAAGAAATTATGTTTCAAGATGGCTTGGTGAAAATCCTTTTGTGATACAAAAGTGTTAGAATACTTTTTTGAAGTACAAAGAAAAATATATCAATTTTAGGCTCTATTATATTTTTAACAGCCACAAAGAAATACATTGGAGGTTCACTATAAGACTTTCAACTTTGTATAACATTCTTCAGCTTAATTTACTCAGGTCTAAACTAAAATAGGCTAAGTTTTCAAATATTAGCAGTATTTTATCTAAACACAGTTTACTACTGCTGCCATCAACAGTTACATCCTCAGATCGACCTTTTACCTTCCTGAATGGGAATAAATCACAAACATTTTAAGTTACAGTCTACCTTTCAGTCTGTCTTTTAAGGCACTGTTCTTCATTTTCTCAATAATATAAGGTGCTTTACTACTATTAACAATAACCTGCTATACACTTAATGGTTTGTATCCTTTCTACTCATTTGTTTAAATCTGGAATGTAAATCCCTATGTGGCAATCTTATTTCTAATGTAGAAAAAATAACTGATCAAGCACAAAATTTTACGCTAATGATAGTTTTCAATATGGATATTAAACTTCAGTTATTCCATTTTTAAAATGATAGCCAAAACGCCACCTGATTGATGCTCATTTGGCACATTCTTCTCAATTCTGGTCACTAAACTACATCCTGAGTTAGGATAAGACAATGCAGCTTTCAGGCTTAAAAATGACTAAATTTCACTGCCAAGAGTCATGAGGTTGTCTGCGCAGGACAATGTTTTCCATCACTTACAGAGTTACATTTGGCATGTCAAGAAAAGAGAACATAATCCCACAGCAGCAGCCATTTAAAATAAAAGAAGACAGCCACAAGGATTCATGCAGAATATTTTAAATATTCCTGTTGAGCAAAATGATTTAACTGATTTTTCTTCAAGCACGATGCTCCAAAATATCCTATATGCATCCTTTGAAAATTTAAAGATCCTGGAATAGCATCTTCCATGTGGGACATCTTGAAAGGTAATATTTTGGTTTCATTGAGTTACACGCCAGTCCTTGTTAATCTAATGGGTCTGTTTACAGAGTGTGGTAGTTTCGTTCTTTTGATTTGCAGAATTTATAGAGAAAGAAAATTACAGCCTGTACACCTAAGACAAGGACAATTCCTCCAATGAAACTGGCTGCATCAAAGGTAGACTTTCGCGTAGGTTGTGAAGTTGGACTTAAAGTTGTGTTAGTTGAACCTGTTAAATAAGATAGAAGAAATAACGATTAAGTCTCATAAGCCTCTTCATAATTTCAAGACCTACCCGAATTTCTATTTTACAATGTGTTAAATTCTATAACGTATTTTCTCCTAAGTCATTTTTAAAAAAAAATATATTTTATTGATTTTTTACAGAGAGGAAGGGTGAGGGATAGAGAGTTAGAAACATCGATGAAAGAGAAACATGGATCAGCTGCCTCCTGCACACCCCCTACCGGGGATGTGCCCACAACCAAGGAACATACCCTTGACTGGAATCGAACCTGGGACCTTTCAGTCCATAGGCTGATGCTCTATCCACTGAGCCAAACCGGTTTCAGCTTGAGCCAAGACTTTACATCTAGAACTTATATCTAATTGAGGAAAACATTTATCATTCCTCCTTCGTTCCATCTGGTGATTATCAAATGGTTAGTGCATCTATACAACTTCAAATATGAAAATGACAGAAAAAGATTCTTCTGATATATAAATTATGTCCTAAAACATGTGAAGCACTTTTAAAATTCGCAATTGTTTGCCTGGCCTGTGTGGTTGTGTTTGAGTGTCAACCTATGAACCAGCTCGTCACGAATTTGATTCCTGATCTGGGCACACATGCCTGGGTTGCTGACTTGGTTCCCAGTAGAGTACATTCAGGAGGCAGTTGATCAATTATTCTCTCCATTGATTTTTCTTTCTCTTTCTCTCTCTTTCTTTCTCTTTCTCTTTCTCTCTCTCTCTCTTTCTCTCTCTCTCTCTCTCTCTCTCTCTCTCTTCTCCCTCTCCCTCCCCCCTCTCTGAAGTCAATAAAAATATTTTCAAAAAATTTGCAATTTCTTTAGACTAGTATACCTAATTGTTATAGTAAATATTAATGTTTTTAAAATTCACATAACTTTTTTTTTTTAATTGATTTTTCACAGAGAGGAAGAGAGAGGGACAGATAGTTAGAAATATCAATGAGAGATAATCATCAATCAGCTGCCTCCTGCACACTCCCCACCGGAGTGTGCAGGAGGCAGCCAAGGCACATGCCCTTGACCGGAATCGAACCCGGGACCCTTCTGTCCGCAGGCCGACGCTCTATCCACTGAGCCAAACCGGTCTCGGCAAAATTCACATAACTTTTTAAAAATATATATTTTTATTGATTTCAGCAAGGAAGGGAGTAGGAGAGACAGAAACATCAATAATGAGAGTGAGAATCACTGATCAGCTGCCTCTTGCATGCCCCACCACTGGGGATCAAGCTTGCAAGCTGGGCATGTGCCCTAACCAGGAATCAAACTGTGACTTTCTAGTTGATAGGTCGAAGCTCAGTCTCAGAGCCATGCCAGCTGAGCCTCAAATAACTTAATTTTACTAAATATATAAGGTAAATTTAAAATTTTGGTTATAATTTTTCAAATTACAAAAATAATCTTAAGTATCTGCAATTTATTATTAGACTAGAGGTCTGGTGCACAAATCTTTGCACTGGTGGGTTCCCTCAACCTGGCCTGCACCATCTCACAATCTGGGACCCCTCCGGGGATGTTGGAGCCTGGTGCATGGATTTGGCCCAATCCCTACAGGCCAGGGACCCCACCAATGCACAAATCCATGCACCAAGCCTCTAGTATGCATATAAGATCTTTGGTTAATCTCTTCCTGTCTTCCTCCCTGCCCACTCCCCACGAAGATGCATCAGTTTGTTTCATGTTCCCATGCCTGTGCATTGAATGTCTGTCCCTTGGGTCAGTGCACATCGTAGCTACTGGTCTAACAATCACTTGGGCTTTTATATATATAAATAAGCAAATGTATCTTATTATATTAAAGTATCTTAAATCTTATTTTGCATATTTTACAATGAGAACATTATTATAAAGTCATGAGGGGGAAAAAGGCACAGAATTTTAATTCCTTTTCAAGGAGTAAAATTTTTCAAATGGAGCACCACTCACTGAATAAAAAGCAATTTCATATTTAAAATAAATTCTACTTTTTTCTTAAATATAAAATAAATATTGATTCTGGTGGCTGTATATAATAAGTTAGCCAGCTTGAAAATTAATTACAACTGTTCTGTATTTCTTCTTGTGAAGATAGAATAGCTTCATTGAAACTGAAATAAAGGTAGTATAAGAATGAAGCCAAAAAAAAAAAAAAAAAAGAATGAAGCCAAGCCGAAACCGGTTTGGCTCAGTGGATAGAGCGTCAGCCTGCAGAACGAAAGGTCCCGGGTTCGATTCTGGTCAAGGGCATGTACATTGGTTGTGGGCACATCCCCAGAAGGGGGTGTGCAAGAGGCAACTAACCAATGACTCTCTCTCATCGATGTTTCTAACTCTCTCCCTTCCTCTCTGTAAAAAATTTATAAAATATATTAAAAAAAGAAAAAGAAAAAAAAGAAAAAGAATGAAGCCAAAAAAAATAATCTATTAAGTTGTACTAAACAGGTTTTGGAAAAACATTAATTCTAGCATGTCATGCCAACTGTGATTACACATTAAAAAACTAGGATCCTCAGCAAATCTATCACTGATTTAACAGCCTACTATGTTGTCCTCTGTAAGAGATGAGTTTCAGTTCATACCATTCATGAGTAAAACTAGAAAACGACAGCAGAAAGAGTAAAAGGCAATAGTATACATACATCCCGTTTCACTGTTAGTTTAAAAAACCTTAATTACCTGGCGTAGCAGTTGTAGTAGAAACGGAAGGCATAGTTGTGGTTTTAGCTGGAATGTAAACAAAATACATTAGAAACTTATATTTCTAAACTTCCTAGTTATCTAGCATCTACCTTTTTAAAGTTATGCCACCAACTTCAACATGCTTTCAATTTTTTAGAGAATGAAGGCCAAATTTCAGTTAATGGTTCACTAACATCTACACATCCAGAATACTAGCTTTTAAATGTATTTTAAAACATTGAGATCTCATAAAATTATATCCATTGTTAACATCTATATGTAAAATTTATGTATACAACTGGACCAAGTTTGCAAGAAAACACACAGAAGGCAAAAATTAGTGTTTAGGTGAATGAACTAGCAGTTCTTTATAAATAATATTGTTTCTAAGACAAAAACTAACTTCATAAATCAAGGTAAAAAACAAGTGCAACTCAGTATTTCTTACGTGAGGATCAAGGTTTGCTTATCTGCTTCATTTGGGGGGGGGATGGCAAACTTTTCTTAAAGGGGCAGAAAGTAAATATTTTAGGCTTTATGCACTGTGTGGTACAAAAGCAGCCAAAGACAATATGCAAATGAATGGGCATGGTTGTACTTCAATAAAACTTTATAAGAGCAGGTGCCCTGAGGCCATAGCTCCCCCAATTTAGATTAGAAGAGCCCAAGGGAAGCTCTAGTCTACAAACTACATGAGATCAAATAATTATCTGATGATATCTCTAAAGAAATGTACATTCATGGGAAAAATTAGATTGAATGTAACATTTTAGGAACTAAAGCACAATATTAAAAGACTTCTTTAATAAGACTGATTCCTATACAGATTTCCCAGATTAGAAAGCATGATTATTTGAAGACTTCTAATACTTTCAAAGTTTTTGTTGCTTATACATTCTGTATAACTGTAAAAAAATGTACTTTACAATTTAAACATGTTAGCAAATTCTCTTTTAATCTTAAAACACTATTACTAATTTTGTCTAAACATTTACACACTTTTGCTTTTGACCAAAGTATTACATTAACAAAATTTTCAAAATTAGGCATTACTTAGTGAATATATCTCCATTGTTCTAGTGTATGTTCCTTTCATTAAAAAAAAAAAAAAAAACATAATTCATAAATTATAAGTTGTTATTGGTGATAGAAAATACAGTAAAGAAATTTAAGCACTTCCATCACTCTGAGAAGCATGGTTTTTTTCCTACCAGCCATTTTTCTAGGCATGTATGTAATAAATAAATAAATAAATTATACTTAATACAGTTTGTTTTTAACTGAATATATTATGAATATTTTCCATTATACTTCTGGCATAATTTAGTCACTTTATTGTAAGATGTTATTTATAAACATATTTATAATTAAACTGTTTGTACTGGCAGAAGACTATTATAATTAACCCGACTGAACACTTTTCTACATAAATTAGATTTTCTTTGCATCAATAGTCCCTTAATTTCTAACTTGCTCTCTTCAGCAGTAGCCATTGAAAAAGATGGTATAAAAGTTTGTTTTTCAATCATTTATTTGCCACTCAATGTGTACATTTTCTGTAAGCACACATCAAGACTCATGGGGAAGAAATTAAAAGTGGACCTACATGCCGAAATCAGTTTGGCTCAGTAGATAGAGCATTGGTCTGCGGACTGAGGGGTCCCAGGTTCGATTCCAGTCAAGGGCATGTGCATTGGTTGCGGGCACATCCCCGGAGGGGGGTGTGCAGGAGGCAGCTGGTCGAATGTTTCTCTCTCATCAATATTTCTGGCTTTCTAACCCTCTTTCTTCCTCTCTGTGAAAAATCAATAAAATATTTTTAAAAATAAAAAATAAAAAAATAAAAGTGGACCCACAATGATTTTGGGGGAATAATTTCCTCCTCTCTCCTGTTCACATTCCAACTTCTGGAAATCAGTTTTCTCTCAACATCTATTTTCATCAATCTTTAATTCAGATTCAATGAATGTGAAACACCAAAGCTATGTATTACTGTCACAAATAGTACACATTAATATAATTACTGTGATCAAGACTAAATATGTCTACTAATTTTTTAAGTTATACTAACAACTTTTAGGTTTTTACTAAAATGTCATCAAGAAAGCTTAAAAATCCTAAAAGAAGGAAAGAGAAAAATGTCAATTATCTTGTATTACCTGTAGAATTGGTTGGCAACGGAGAGATGGTGGGCACTATTTAAAAAACAAACATATTAAGTCAAAACTTTCTAAAATATCACAACCTATAACATTATTTCCTAACCTGCAGTAATTTGAGTACCACTTTACTATTTTTATATTTTAGTACCTCCTGTGAAGGAAGACTGACAGTTGCTCTCACACAGAACAACACTCCCCTTCTTTAAAAACAGGAGCAGCAATTTTTAGTGACACTTCCCTCCCCACAGCAGACATTTCTCAATCTCTCCTACAGCTAGGTAGCCATGTGTAACTTCTAAGAAGCATATGTAAAGCAGATATGGGCTTCTCTTTCCCTTCTTCTTCCTGCTGGCAGAAAAACCAATTATATGGCCGAAACATGAGAACTCACCTTGTAGAGTAAGGTCAAAGCCATTTTTGAGGAATGACAACAAAAGCCTAAGAGTCTGGGTCCCTATTGGTTGTAAGAGCTGCTACTGTAACCCTCTGGCTGCATTTGAACCAGACTTCCTTTACACGTAAGCAAAATAAACCCATTTCTCAAACCACTGTAAACTGATAAATATTCAAATAAGCAGAATTACTTGTTGTTGTTTTTAATGTCTCTTAAAATGTTTTATTTAATCTTGTTTCAAAGCAGTATAAATCATATCTGATATAGTTATTAGTTTTTCTCCTAGAACATTTAAATAACTATTAATTTTTGTTCATTTACTACCGAAACCATGTTACTACACTCTAAATTGGGTGTAACTGTTCTCATACTAATCAAATTATTAGTTACAAAGTTCAAGTTGGGATGGGGGAGATGGAAAAGCTCCTACCAAAAATTGAGTAAAGGTAGTCTTTCAAGGTTATTGATACACCAGAAAAATCTTAATTTAATTATTACCTATGCACCAAATTAGGAATTTGACTTTCCTATTAATTTATAGTCTTACTAGAAAAACCCACTGTTCCAACAGGAATTTTAACTATTTCCTGTGAAAAGAGTAAAGGTTAAAGAGTAATCAAGTTCCTCAAATTCAAGTACAAAAAGTGAATGAATCTAGAGAAGATTCACTTAATCACAGCATAAACTATACTGGACATTATGACATTCATCAGTTCCATAATCAAGAAAGTGCCAGAGCCCTAGCTGGTTTGGCTCAGTGGATAAGAGCATCGGCCTGCGGACTGAGGAGTCCCGAGTTCGATTCTGACCAAGGGCACATGCTTGGGATGCAGGCTCAATCCCCAGTAGGGGTGTGCAGAAGGCAGATAGATGATCAATGATTCTCTCTCATCATTGATGTTTCTATCTATCTCTCTCCCTTCCTCTCTGAAATCAATAAAAAAAAATAAAAAATAAATAAAATAAAAAAAAAAAAAAATATATATATATATAGTGCCAGAACAAGACTGCCCAGGCCTGTAAAACCCAAATAGAGGGTCTAAATTACAGTGAGTTTCTGGAAGAGTGAAAATAATAATAATAATGGAGGAGGCATCTGTACATACAACATTCCATAGTATATCCAAATCACTAAACCAACGTTCAAACATTGTCCTTTTAGCAATCAATACAAATGCTATTCATAGTGAGATTTCTAATAAGATTAGAACTATGGAAATGCTTCAAACCAAATACTGAAATAGGCTTCCTGAAGTAATGATCTTCCTCACTCTAGCAGCCAATGTGAATACTTACCAGAGCAGAAATTTGTACTATTCACCACCTCGCAACCAGTAACTGTTGAATTATGTGAGCAGTAGCTTTTACCTATGGAAGAGAGAAAAAAAAGAAGAAAAAAAAACAACAACAACACACAAACAAGTTAAACAGCACCAATCACTCACTTTTATCATCTCTAAGTTTGTTACTCAGCTTCAGAATAGCTTCCCCAAATCAAACTTGAACTCAAGTCCATCCACAGACTAACAAAATACTGTTGCTCTTTTCCCCACTGGTTTAGCAATATGATACAGGCTCTCCCCAAATATTATCCTCCCAAAATCCACATGAACATACTGAACAGATAAACTTAGATGTTGGGATTGTGGTGTCAATAACGAGTGTACAAGGAAGGCTACTAGAACCCACAAGAGGGGTGAGTCAGCAGGGAGAAGTGGTCAGGAGCTAATAAAGGCTTAGGAAACGGGGGAGGTGGCCCAAAGGCAGCAGGAAGGCCTCTGTTCCAGACCTCTGGTTAGTCTTCTACCCTTTCTAAAACCAATTCCCGGATAGGAGACTTACAGCAAGAGTAAGGAGTGCTTTCCACAGCATATCCTACAAAAAGACATTCAATCTCCCAAACTTGCCAACTCTGCCATAATTCGGGGTAGGGATACACTTTTAAATTCCATTTTATGACTTAAAAAAAAGTGACTCTTAAACAAGAGTAAACTTAACCTCTGATTTAGTAATACCCTAATTTTAAGAGTCTCTTAAACTTTGTTAGTAATATAATGTTAAATTTTTCAATGAAGACTAAAGAAGCTTAACAGGTAGCTTTGACTTTTTCTTTATATATATAAAAAAATTGATAAGAAAAAATGCAAGCACCTTACATTAAGAAAACAATAATTTATGCTGTAATCCCATGGTTCTAACAAAAACCTTACTGGCATTTCAAAGTATCTCCATCTAATTCTTTATCCCTCAAATTACAGCTAACTTTAAAACTTAACAAAAGCACAGGAAAGAACCAATTCTTCCCTCCTCATTCTTCTCCTCTAAAGTTTGTAAGATCTCTCTATAATTCACCTAGCAGAACACAATGACAATAAATTTCTCAAACTTTTTTCTAGGGAAGTTTTCAAAAGAAAATTTCACAGCTAATTTCATTGTATCCTACACAAAAGTCTATAATCTCTCTTCCTTTAAAACTTGAGCCTTAATTACCAAGTCTAAGGAATTAAGTGGGGGAAGAGGTGGTAGGAGACAAGAAGAGATTTTAGAGGGAAGTGTTAAGCAATTGGCACTGTAAAGGAAAGTATTTAATTTGCAAAAAAAATAGTGTACACTATGGTAAACATTCTATGTAACTTTTGAATGTTCAAGAATATTCTGTAGTATATTTTAAAATGTTACAACAAAAGTTTTGTGTTCTCACAAATTAAACAATCCAAAAGTTTCTTACCTTCTTTACATTCCATCCAAAAGCAGGTAGTGTTAGCAATATCACTGCTAGCATTAATACAGGAAGCACAGCTGTTGTGGTTATCACAGATTTCTGGGGTGAGGAAGAATGCATGAAATCAATTAATTGGCAACTGATTTTGAATTTGTATTACTTATTTTTTTTAAAAAACAGTAAGCACTATATACAGTACCACACTTACTAACTCAGAGGAATGGTAAACTGATAAAAGGGTAACAAACTAGGATGGTATTCAAACATTAAAAAGGGTAAATCCTGTTATACTCTACAACATCAGTGATCCCTGAAGACATCATGGTAAGTAAAATTAGCAAGTTACAGAGGGACTGATACTGCATGATTCCACTTACACAAAGTATCTAAAATAGTCAAATTCAGAAGCTGAAAGTAGAATGGTGGTTGGCCAGGAGGGAGGTTGAATATAAAGTTTCATGCAAGATGAAAAGTTAGTTCTACAGATATTCTGTATATCACTGTGCTTATAGTCAATACTGTACAGTGCCCTTAAAAATTGGTTCAGAGGGCAGATCTCATGTGACTGTTTTTAACAACAAGCAAAAAACTTTATAAACTGGGTTTACTAAGACATTCCAATGATTTTTAATTACTTATGAAGCCAGAGTTTACTTAATAGAAAGGAGGAAAAAACACAAGTTAGTGGGAACACTCAGTAGTACTTCATGGTACCTATTTAAACATTCCTTTCCATGGCAACACTTTCACAGACACCCAGGATTTCTTTATTTTAAAGCATCCTTAAAATATAAAAATATTGGAAGAAAGACTATTATAAGGCCAAAAATTCAGACAGGGAAATCACTGCCCCAAAACAGAAGAGACACTAAAATTTTTAACAGTAATAAAGACGTATTACAAGTTGAACCCAAGATTTGATGACGCCCATTCTGAAAAACCTCAGAGATTTGTAATTCATAAATGATCTGCTCTTTCTACGGTCCTCCGTAACTGGAGGATAAGACACAGCATATTTGGAGGGAGCTGAATTCATATACATGTAATATAGAAAGTTAGCAAGATCTTTTTCAATAATTTAAGCCAAATGGCCCAGAAACCAGACTTCAAAGAAGACTAATTACAATTCAATGTCTGAACAAACAAATGGACAACAGAATTGGACTCCATCCATTTCCTAGAAGCTAGATGCCTCCAAAAAAGCATTCTCCTTTCCTCTCTCAGTACCTCAAAAAGCAACCCTGTGCAGCACAGAAGTGTTGCATTTCACCATCAGTACTACCAGAGACTGGGACACATAGATTTTGTGTGTGTGTGTGGGGGGGGGGTCTCAAAGCAGAATTTTTTAGAGGTTTCTATACAGGTGAAAAATGCTACTTGTTTAAAATCTTTTGTGCTGGATGATGCATGTTTGGGTAGCACAGTGAATGTTATTTACAACGAACTAAACTTGCTACCTTTCAAGACCGCAGCCTATCCAACTAGTACTTACAGGAGAAACAAATTATCTCCTTTGCACTCATTGAAATCACACAAAGGCAATTAACTTCATATTCCTAAGCTTCTCTTGAAAAATCAAAAAACACAACAAAACTACAATTCTGAGAGAAAACTGCCAAATAATCAGGAGACAGCCCTATCCCCTTAAAAATAGTGGGTTAGAACTTGTACTGTAATTTACTGTCATTGAAAAAGAATTCTTAATGTTGTTATTGAGTTAAGAGAGAAAGGAAGGGTGAGGGAAACATCCATCTGTTGCCTTCAGTATGCCCTCTACTGGGGTTTGGGCCCCAACCAGGACATGTGCCCTGGCTGGGAATCGAACTGGTGACTTTCTGTGCATAAGGAGGAAGGAAACTCAACCATTTGAGCCATGCCAACCGGATCTAAAAATTTTTAAATGTTCCATCTTTTTGACTCTAACAAACTATATTAAAGTTCATTATATATTTTGTTAAGCTTTTATGAAATACAAAAACTAGGAAAGTCATTGTAAAATAATATGATCAACCTTGAAGAAAGAAAAAAAAAAAAAAGATAAAAACCAGCCCGGCTGATGTGGAAGGAGCAGATCACCCAGTTCAGCTCCCAGTCACGCCCGGATTGCAGGCTTGCTTCCCAAAAGGGGGCACACAGCAAGAGGCGGGCAGCCGATGGACGTGATATTTCTCATGGATGTTTCCCTCTCTCTAAAAATCAGCTTTTAAAAGGCATTTTTAAAAAAACAGCAGTCCTTGGGTCAAAATGCCTGTGAGTTCTTATCTTACCCCATAACCAATCACACTAGATTGCAGGTTTTATATATCCAGAATTTCTCCACCTTATCTCAAATTTCATCTTCCCTTCTCTTTTTTTTCTATCTATTGTCAACATTGCCAAGTCCTTCTTTCAGATCCCGTGTACGCCTCAACCCGTGGACTGCAGAGCTTAACAAAAGGTGTGTTCTTGTTCACTGGATTCTAGAAAATCGGCAGACCTGGTTCCGATCCCAACGTCACAATCTCCTGAACACACGGTCATCCCGGCAAAGTTACCCTTTATTCTCGGTTTCCTGACCGATCTTCTAGGTCAGCCTGAGCGACATGTGCCAAGTACCGGGTACACGACTGGGTCCTTTCCGACGTCCCCACCACAGGATGGGGTGTCAAGTTTTACTTCGCGTAAAACACTCAAACATTCAGATAAACCTCAAACCTATGCGCAAGACGATCTTAAGTCTGAGACGCCGGAGAAAGTTAGCGTCTTCAGTTTCCCTTTCCCTCCGCCGGTCGCCAACTTCCGGAGAAGCCTCCGGGCGGAGAGAGGACCTGCACCCACGGCTCGCCCCGGGGAAGGGAGCTCGGTCTCAGCGCCCCGGAGTCCACCCCGCAGCCGCCGCCACGGAAGGAAGCCACGTCCCCTGTGCGGAGCCTACGCCAGGCTTGGAGGCGTTTTGTGTAAAACACCGCGGCTGGGACACCGGTCAGAAACGGAGTGAGGGCCCGACCGCCCCTTCCCAACGGGCGCGTCCCCCCTGCCCGGCCGCCGGTCCCCCGGCCTCGGACGGACCGCCATGTTGCAGGAGCGCGGACCGCCCCGGACCGCCCCGGCCCCGCGCGCACCGCCCGCAGGAGAGCAGCTGGGCCGCGCGGGAGGGCAAGCGAGCGTCGGAAGCCGAGGCGACCGTCACCCACCTGGTACGTGAGTGGGGAGCGGCGCGACGGTCGGCGGCGGCGGCGGCGGCGGCGGCGGCGTGGTGGCCGTGTGGTTGGGGGGCGCCGAAGTCGTGTTCAGGGCCAGGATGATGCTGTGAGTCGTGCTCTCCTCCGCGTTCAGCACACAGAGCGCGGCCAGGCAGGCGGCGGCCCAGAGCAGGCGGGAGAGTCCCGACATCGCGACCTCCGCGCTGGGGTGGCGGCGACAGCTGCGGTGCACGACGCTCCCCGGGACCCTGTGTCTCGCGCGGCGCAGGCTCCCAGACTCCGCTCCCCCGCGGGAGCGCGCGGGGGTCACGTGCGGGAGGCACCAGGGGGCGGGGGCGGGGACGAGAGATACCAAGTGGGATCCTCAGAGAGGGGGAAGAGACATCGTGAAGAAACCGAGGGAGGCTGTCCCTCAAAGAGACTATACTATTAGTATTCCGAAAACACTGGAAAGACATAGGAAACTCTTCTATGTGCCCTAAAAGTGCCAAACAGGGCGCAAGTGGACTTTTTCTGTTACTGCAGTAAGAAAATCTGCCCCTAATGTGGATGGAACAATCTACATGACGTGGCGCACGGCGTCCTCCGGAGCGACCGGCGGCGAGGCCGTAATCCCGCGGCCTGACGTGACGTCACGGCTCCGCCTCGCGACCCGAGTCCCGCCGGGGCGGAAGTGGGTTCGTTGCTGAGCGCTGGGAGCCTTTGCAAGAATTAAGTCTGTGCCGTGCTTCCGCGTTCCCAAGGTCTTGCAAATTTATACTTAGTAGGACCCGTGCTTTTTACCTAGGAATCGACCTTCTCGTAAGTCATGGGGCTCCCCGGGGAAATGGAGGCCGAGTGGTGAGGGGTTTTCTGCTCCGGCGCCCCGCAAAGGGTGCGCCGCTGAAACACCAAAGCACGGTCTCCAGCCTTCCAGCCAGAGCCGCCCACCGTCTCCCTTTCACGCTCCCCAGCCTGATTTTTCCGAATTTCTTGCTATTTCAGTCCAGCGGTAGCAGCAGCCAGTCGATGGCCATCGACATTGTCCAAAAGTCGAAGACGATCTGAGTGGGGAATCCATCCGATGCGTTCCCACCCCCACTTTCACGGTGAGTAAACAGATTCGTAAAAGCCACCTGACCAAAACGCTGTTTTTGCGTTGGGGTTTGATTTCGAAATACCTGTCACTGCTTGGGCTTTTTAGTAATGGTGAGCGCCATCTGATGCCCAGTCTCACAGAAACATTCAGTGCAGCCAAGCTTATATCAAGGATAAAAAAAAAATGGATTGTAAAAACTAAGTATTTAATGTCCGTTTTCAGCTTTTTGTTTTTACCATGTAATCTTAGTTATGCACATCTACCCTAATAAAATAACACACGTAACAATGGTTACTTTTGTGAGATCAGCTTTATTTTGAAAGCACACACACACACAAACAAGAGGACTGCATAGCACCGTTAAACAAAACCTTCCAGGCCAAAGGTCCTGAAAGGATTTGTTGTCCTGGGACGTGCAGTTGGAACCATTAGCAGCAGAGCTTGATGGGGAAGGTATCCACAGTCTTGGGATTGATGGGGGCTCTTTTATAGAATGAGTTTGGAGCAGAAAGATAAAAGTTGTTTTGGTTTTTTAATTTTTTTAATTAATTAATTAATTAATTATTATTTTTTTTTTTTACAGAGAGGAAGGGAGAGGGATAGAGAGTTAGAAACATGGATGAGAGAGAAGTATCAATCAGCTGCCTTCCGCACACACCCTATTGGGGATGTGCCCGCAACCAAGGTACATGCCCTTGACCAGAATCAAACCTGGGACCTTTCAGTCCCCAGGCCAACGCTCTATCCACTGAGCCAAACCGGCTGAGGCAATAAAAGTTTTTTTTTTTTAAAGAATTTACATTGGCTATAGATAAGAGGGGGGCAGGAAAAGGTGAAGTGAGAAAATACCAGGACAGGTAAATGGTCCATAAGGAAGAAGTATTTGAAAGTTCATGTGTAAGCAAGATGCCAACTGGAAGTGGATTCAAAGTTTCAACATACATTCAAGAATGTGAGCAGTCTATTGTGGGTTCTGGCTATTAACTGATTAATTTCCCTTCTACTCTTAAGGCTGTTGTCATTTAATTTAGGACTTACCACTTTTCTCTTGTCGGCACTATCTTTTCTGGCCTAGATTTGAAAGCTTTTATAACTCCCTACGTTCTAATCATTGGAGTCCTGTAGCCTGATGACTATGGACATACACTATAAAGACTATACTAGTTGGAGATTTGCTCAGATATTAATAAGAAACTGACAATTTTCGACTGATCCAACCTATGACCAGAAGTATGAGAGTGCAGCCAAGTAAAATAAATGAGGTCCCATCATCAGCCTTCAGTGAAAAGTCTGCTCTTCTCTTCTCTCCGGATACCTCTCACATAGTATTTATTTAGCTCTTGACTGATACTCAGACCAAATGAAATCACTAATCAACTTTTTTTAAATAGTTTAAAAATATAATAAAAGTTCTGTTTTCTTCTCATACCCCAGTGGGTTATTTTGTTTATGCCCTGTGGAGGCCATTGTTTTACAATTTATCATTTAGGTGTTCCACTCTAGTCCTCAGATTTTTGGGGACATTTTACTCTCTTGTTTTAAGACTAGAAACGCATCATTTTATTTTATTTTCACATGGCACCTGTTGAGCTAGATCAAGGAAGACGTCCAAAGTCATGTTCACAATTCCAGAGCAAGGGCTGGCGTCTATACAGTTTTAACAACATGCACTAAACTTTGTGTACTATTTAAATGTTTTAACCAAACTAGAGAAGGATAATAATAAAGATTAGTAGTGAGCTAAAACTGTGTATTCATATTATGAGTATTAACACCATGATTAAGATTGAAAATATATTATGGAGCTCTCCTTAGGAGTCACTTCACTTTGTGCACTTTGATAACTGTTCCAGGGTTTCAGAGGGGAGCATTACCCTTTAGAGCAGTTGTTGTCAACCTTGGCTGAACATAAGAACCATGTGGGGAGTTTTGAAAAGTACTGATGTCTGGGTACTGATTTAATTAGCTTGGAATATTGCCTGGGTATTTAAGAGCTCCCTAGGTGTTTCTAATCCACATCTTAGGCTGAAAGCTATTGCTCTCTACTCTAGCTTCTCAAAGTGTGGTTCACGAATATCATTTATACCACCTACAAATTTCTTAGAAATGCAAAAATCTCAGCCTCACCTTAGTCCTCCTGAGTCAAAATCTGCATGTTAACGAGATCCATATGTACATGTGTACATACCTGTGAAAGTTTAAGACTGCCTTACACTATCATTGTGGAGAACTACTAGTATTATAATTCTACCTCCTAAATTGCTACATTTCTTAATAGTGAATATCTATAGAACTACATCAGGCAAGATATGTGTAAAGTTTTTGAGTCTTTGGTTTTTTGTTTGTTTTGGAAAAGTAAAGTCAGGGTATGAGCAGCACAAGACTCCTGGATGAGCAGGAGTCACGGAGCCCAGCCTTGGCTCTCTCTAGGCTGGCCCTCAAATTGCATTTATTTTTATTTCTATTCCACTTCAAGCCCAGGGTCTGCTGGAGCTTGTTCCATGCTCTCTCTTAGTCCTGTAGGAAACAGAAGAAAGCCCTCTTTCTAACTCACTTCTAAGGAACAACCCCAGGGTCAAGCTGAGCTACACCCCAGGAGCTTCCTGGTAACCTGCATTTAGTTACTGCTTCCTCTGTGTCCAGGCAGCCAGTGTGCTCCTCCCAATCCTGTCTCGTTGACTTTCACCCAGAACACACCCAGGTGGACATTCTGGTTATTAAAATATTCAAGTCATTCTGCATTGGCTGGTAAAGAGCACTGCCCTTGGAGCCCGTGTCCCAGTCCCTTCCCCCGAGCCCCAGACTGCCACGCTGCCTCTCCAGCTCTGGAGGGCTCGCCTCCTACCCATGCAGGAGCAGCAGTCTCTGTCCGGGCCTCCAGGCTCTGTCGCTTCTAAGTGATCAATGTTTTCATAACTCTCTGCTGCTTTAATAAAAACCAGAGTTTCTTATCTCACCATCTTCCCTCATTCTTTCTTTTCTCTTGTCACACTTAAGTGCTTGACTTTTATCTTTCTTCCACATACCAGCATGCCAGTCTCTCATACATCTATGTCTTCAATATATCCCAGTGGTTCTTAACGTCTGGTCTCCAGACCAGTAGCATCTGCAGCACCTGGAACCTGTTAAAAATGCACATTTTTCTGCCCAGTCTTGATCCACTGAATCAGAAACTGGGATAAGACCCAGGAATCTGTGTTTTGAGAGGCTCAAGCATTTCCGGTACACACCTAAGAAAAAGAACCTACAATTTTCGATTTACATTTTCAAAGCCCCCTATCAAATACCAAACTTAGTAATTTATGTTGTATATGTTACTGTTGAGTTTACAACAAATATTTTATGTGTTATATAAAACTTGAGACGTAGACAGAATAAATTTGCCAGTTTTAAGTTGTGATTCCATTTGGGGAAAGGGAGTGAATAATATAATCAATATAGTACTACTTGAAAAAATGAGTTTCCATACAGGAGAGATTATCACCGGATATAGAGAGCAATTTTAATTTTGAGGATAGATTAACTCAGTCAGTTGAAAATTAACATGGTGTTAATGAGAATGACTAATACTGAACATTAACAGGGACTTGGTGTTTCTCTGTCAGTGGCAGCTAGACTGGTTTTTGTGGGTTGATATTCCAGAAAAGAAATTACTTTTTATTCAGTATCTGTTGTGTCAAGCATCATGAGAAATATCTTCACATATTATTTCAACCCACAGACATTGTGAGATAGAAGTCCCTTCATTTTACTAATGAAATGGAAGCCCCAAAGCAAATAACAGTAGTTATTGATTTTATAAATATACACAGAATCACTAAAGTGTTAGAGCCAGAAGGAAGCCAACACTTCTTACTTCTCTGTTCCTTTTACAAATGAGGAAAGTGAAAGGTAAAGTGATTTGACCACCCATTGCTAGATAGCTGGGACTAAAACACTCCTTATTTAAAATACATATAAACAGTATGGGATTCTGAGGTTACCACACTACTCATTCATAAACAAATACTGGCACTGTTTATAGTTGGGGCAAAAAATTATTTAGATAGAATTTTAAATGTCTGTCTTAGATCTCCCAAAAAAGAAAAATGTCCAGATACCACACTCCCCTTATTAAACGGCTTAGTGTAAATTACAATCTGTGTACTTGACTCTGCCCCATCAGCCATTAGGGCGGGTCATATAACTAACATTTTGAATATTCATTAAAATGCCTTTGCCCCTGTTTGTACATAGGCTTGGAAAAATTCTAGAATAATTTCTGCTTAATCAGTCTTTCAGTTTGGTTAAACCAAAGTCTTATATTTGTAGTTAATTGGGGTAAGCTTTGAGTCCTTTGTAACATCACTTTCTCCAAACATGTTTAAACATCCAGATCATTCTAATGCATGTTATATTCTGATCCAGAAGTATTATTCTGTGTGTACTTTTAAGTGGGGATAATAAGGACCACTGCCTATACAGATCGGTAAAGCTTCTAGACAGCCTGAAAGTGGGTAGCGGCAACAGAGGGGCTCTGAATGTGCCATCCTGTAGAAAGTTTGCAGCATTTACATTGCAGCTACACTGAAATATAAAGGGAGCTCAATCATTTTCTTACGTCCAGCAGAAATCCAGTTCTTTCACACAAAATACTTAATGTCTTACTATATGGGTTCATTGCCAGTAAGGATTATTGTTTGTTATTACATGATGGATGCTTTTGTTTTAACCAGGATCTCTGCAAAGCATCCGTTTCATTCATCCAGTGCCTCACTAGCTGGTAGGAGTCCCTTTGCCAAGTCCCCAGTGTGACCACAGGAACCCATCCACAGGCCCAGAGAGAGGATCTGGAGGCTACACTCAAACAGCCTGAGTTCGCAGCTTGGCCGAACGAAACTCGGACTAGAGGAAGAGGAGACAGCTCCTCCTCAGTGATTCCCAAATCTGGCTGTTAATCAGAGTCCTTGAAGAGCCTTTTAAAAATATAAGTTCCCGACCGGAGGCCAAGGGGCGGCCAGCACCATGTTCGGCTCCAGCCGAGGTGGCGTGCGCGGGGGACAGGACCAGTTCAGCTGGGAGGATGTGAAGACCGACAAGCAGAGGGAGAACTACCTGGGCAACTCGCTGATGGCCCCAGTGGGCCGCTGGCAGAAGGGCCGCGACCTCACCTGGTACGCCAAGGGCCGGTCGGAGGGCGCGGGGATGAGCCGCGAGCAGGAGCTGGCGGCCGTGAGGCAGGCGGAGCAGGAGGCGCTCATGGCGGCGCTGGGCTACAAGAACGTGCGGAAGCAGCCCACCGGCCTGAGCAAGGAGGACTTTGTGGAGATCTGCAAGCGTGAAGGTGGTGACCCCGAGGAGAAGGGGGTGGACCGGCTCCTGGGCCTGGGGAGCTCCAGCGGTTCCGCAGGCCGAGTGGCCTTGTCCCGAGAAGACAAGGAGGCGGCCAAGCTGGGGCTGCCGGTGTTCACGCACCACGGCGTGGACAGCAGCCGGCCCGGGGCCTCCCCGGCCCGGAAGAAGCCCAGGCAAGAGGAGAAGGTGGAGCAAGGTCCCCAGAGTCACAAGAAGAGCAAGAAAGAGAAGAAGAAAAAGAAGAAGCACAAGAAAGAGAAGAAGAGAGAGAAGGAGCACAGAACCTCACTGTCCTCGACTCCGACCAGGGCCCACCATCGCAAGCACGATTCCAACTCCTCTCCCAAGAAGAGGAGAAGGCGTGACAGTGACTGAGGTCCAGCCACCAGGACCCTGCCCGTCCCAGCAGGCCCCGTCCTCAGTGAAGCCTTTGAGCATGTGCCCTGCCAGGCCCAGGCAACTGTAGGACAGGCTAGTGGGGGCCCTATTAGACCCCTGTCTGCAGACAAGGTGTCCAGGTGAGGCCTCGCCCCCAGATGGTCCCAGGCCCACCTGAGGAGACACACCTGTCCAGGAGGTCCACCTGCCTCAGGCTCCAAGTACTGCTACTTCTGTTTTTCCTTGTGTTGACTCACCCTTTGTACTTAAGTAAACATATTTTAAGCTGAAAATAAAAAATACAAGTTTCTGAAGGTTATACACTGGTAATTTATTGAGCACTCACAGTATAACAGTTCCTATTATAGGTCCTGTATACGATTGATTCCTTGAATCCTCACTATATGTGGTAGATACTACTGATTTGAGATGAGGAAATAGTGGTAACAGTGGAGTTCTTGCATGAGCATTTGCAGCTTAGGGAATGGCAAAGCTAGGACTCAAACCCAGGCTGCCTCTAAAACACGTCCTTAAACTGGACTGCTGCTGGGTCAGTTGAGAATGTGACAGATAGTATACTTTTTCCTTATTTCAGATGTTAGTCTAAAACTTTTTGTTATATTGCAGAGCTGTTTTTTGTTTTGTTTTTTGTGTTTGTGTGTGTTTTAATATTTTTTTTTTCATTTCAGAGGAAGAGAGGAGAAACATCAATGATGTGAGAACCATTGATTGGCTGCCTCCTGTATGCCCTTCACCGGATCAAGCCTGCAACCTGGGCATGGGCATGCACCTTGACCAGGAATTGAACCCTTACCTTGTAGTTCATTGGTCAATGCTCAACCACTTGGTCACACCAGCTGGGCTGAGCCATTTTCAGGAGTTTGGGATGGTGGTGGGCAATAGGGTAACTATAAAGGGGTAGCCCCAGGGAGGTCTCTGTGGCACTGGAAAAGGGCTGTGTCTTGATTGTGGTGTCAGTCATGTGAATCTACACATGATAAAATTGACAGTACATGTACCAATGTCAGTTGCCTATTTTGGTACTGTACTATAGTTGTATAAGATATGCATATCGGGGAAACTGCATGATCAGCACACAAGACTACTATTTTTATAACTTCCTGTGTCTATTTTTTTTTTTTTTTTTTTAGTATATGCCTACCTTTGGCAAGTGCCAAATCAATTAGAGGCCTGACTCTATAAGATTGACTCAAAGAGATTTCATGTTTTTGTGGGGTTTTTTATATATATATTTTTAATTGATTTCAGAAAGGGAAAGAGAGAGAGAAACATCAATGATGAGAGGATGATGAGAGGATCATTGATTGGCTGCCACTTTCCTACACATCCCACACTGGGGATCCAGCCTGTGCCCCGGACTGGAATTGAACCCAAGACCCTTCAGTCCACAGGCTGACGCTCTATCCACTGAGCCAAACCAGCCAGAGCCAAAGAGACTTCATGTTTGAAAACAAATCTAAAGGCAAGAAAAGCATCATGGCTCTAAGCACGGCATGAGTGGAGTGGTGGTGGTGGTAGCAGCTGAGCAGGATCACCTCTAACAAGCATGCCACCGACTATAAAGAGAGGGCTGAAACCATTACTTATATCTTACAGTGATTCCCAAATGACTAGTGCCCAGCATTTAAGTAAGAACCTCTGGAGAGAGCTAAATGCACAGAATCCGTGTCTCACACATCTTCGAGACTCTGGAGTAGGGCAAGGACAGGGTCCAGCAGTCTTGTTGAAAAAGTTTCCCAAACACGGGTTTGAAAATCTCAGATTAAGCAGTGCTGATAAAGCTGTATCCCCAATAACATTTCAGGAGTCAACCACCATGGGGACTGCAACCCAAGCCCTTGGAATGGCTCAGAGATAAGCATACTATTCATGTCTTATAAAAACATTCAACAATAGCTTTTTTTGAATGCTATGTATAACAATGAAATGTAACAATTATTTTTTTCTCTAGACTCTCTTGGTTATTTACTAAGTTTCTCCTGGCAGATAATGTAGTTACAAAAACTAATTACAAATACTTTAGGATTTGCCCTGGCTGGTATGGTTCAATTGGTTGAGCCATGTCCATGCACTGAGAAATTCCCCAGTATGGGGTGTGCAGGAGGCAGCCAATCAAAGATTCTTGTCTATGTCTCTTTCTACCTCTCCCTTTCTCTCAAATAAATAAACTTATTTCAAAAAAATATTTTAATATTCAAGGGCCATTCATTAGGTACTGCTATAAAATTAAGAATGGCTTTGGCTACAAGTAACAAAATATACAACCAACATAAACAGGGCTCTATTTTTCTCCCATAGTAAGAAGTCCAGAGATAGGTAGTTTTGGGTATCAAAGAGTTGTGGCTGACATCTCTGCAGTTTTCTTTCTTTTATGACTCTAGCCTCTGCATTCAAGACTGATGAAGGGCAAGGGTCAGGACCACTGGCATTCTATTCCTGGCCAAAATGGTATCCCATGACCACTCCTGGTAGTAAAGGAGGCTGGGAAATGGAGTTTTGTGCTTTTATAGTCTACATGGCAGAAGCAAGAAAGGAAAAAAGAAATAATACTGGGTTTGGGGTAAACCAACTGCTGCTGCATCTGCAACAGCTTTCAAATTAAATTTTAACAAGCATGGTTTAATCTAGAAATAGCTGATCAGATATATAATAAAGTCATAAAATACTGATTTGAAAATCAAGCATAAAAATTTCCACTGTCGATAATTGTACATGGTTGTATTGGTCTTTCATTCTCTGTTGGAACCAATTCTAGTTGTTGAAGAACGTCTGTTCCTTCAATCAGTTGCCTAATATAGGAGAAAAGGTGGAAAATTTAGTCAGTCATACTTTTCCACATTTAGCTCACATTCCTAAATTAAGTCCTACCCAGCTTAGCTAAGGATCTTTCCTACAAATTAAAATAATATCAGTGATTAATAAATAGTTCTAAATGTGTTCTAATTGCCATGGTTCCCCCACATCTATCTGGTACCCTTCCAGTCTATTATTCCAACTACCGTCAGGGTGAAGTTTGAAAAATGCAAATCTGATCGCACCTCCCTGTTTAAAACTTTTCCACAATTCCCATTATGCTTATGATAAAACCAAAAATGTCTGCCGTGGCTGGCTTCCCCACACCTCTCCAGGACTGTTTTGCAGCATACTCCCCTTGCTCTCTGCTCCAGCCAGACTGGCTTACTTCAGTAGCACCTTGAGCCCTTCCTGTCACTGTTGTTTCCTTTGCTCTTGTCCCCACCGCCATCCCCTCTGTCTGGTCAATTCCTGGCCTTTTTAGGTCTTAGCTCAATCATTTCTTTGTGGAAGTTTCTCAGGTACCTTTATAAGAATAATCAGGGGTAAATTTTTTATTTACTTGAATACTTAGATTCATTTCTGATTCTTTCATGGGCAGAGACCATGCCTTTGCTTAGTGCCTAGCACAATGCCTAGCACATAGTAGGCACCTAATCAATATCCATTGAATACATGAATAAAAGATAGCACCAAGCCATCACACTGGTTTCAGTATCTGTAGACATCCACTGGCTACAAGCTAGAACTCTGAGTGGAGCTTATCTGATGATTCTCTTGAATACCTATTCCTGGGATTCAAGAGCTACTACCTGTCTGTTGTATCTTAATCCAGATCATAACTTCTCTAGCTTGGTGAATGGCACCAACCATTTAACAAATTCCAAAATCCTAAGATTTCCTCTAGACTAGCGGAAATTAGGATACAGTTCTAAATATACTCTCTACCAATGCTTGCATTGAGGCATGGCTCAAGGGAAGGTCAATGTCCACTTTATGAACCTTTATAGGGACAAGGTTGACACTGATCATGCTCTAGTCATCTTTGCCTACCTCTGGGCTGTTTTTGCCATCCCAATTAGAAACCATGACAGAGCAGGACACAAGGTACATTCTCAGGATGAAGAGCAGGGGGAAAGGGACACATTCATCTCTGTCCAAAAAGAATGTGAAGCCTCTTGAAACTGGTTTCACAAATACTGAAGGAGCACCTACTATGCGAACCTCTCCATTATTACAGGTATTAGGGCACTAGATGAGTGAGGCCCAGTCCCTACTTTGTGTTGTTCACAGTGTGCCAAAGAGGACAACCAGTTTCATTGTGGTAATCAGGGAGGTTTCTGACCTAAGCCTTGAACGGAATTTTGGCAAACTGAAGGGAGGCAGAATGAAGAAATAAGCAAAGGCCCAGAGGTGGTTCTGGGAGTGATGGTACTAGCTCAGCTGCCATGTCGATAGCTGCCAAATCCACACCTCTAGACCTTGCCCAGCTTAAATATCTGTTCCTGGGATTCAGGAGTTACCACCTGTCTGTTGTATCTTAATCCAGATCATAACTTGTCCATCCTGAATTCATGATCTCTCCCATATCCTTTTTGTCTTCTCTAGCTTCGTGAATGGCACCAACCATTTAACAAACTCCAAAATCCTAGGATTTCCTCTAGACTAGCGATTCTCAACCTGTGTGCATCGTGACCCCTTTAGGAGTCAAAATGACCCTTTCACAGGGGTCGCCTAAGACATCCTGCATATCAGATATTAAATTTACAATTCATAACAGTAGTAAGATTACAGTTATGAAGTAGCAACGAAAATAATTTTATGGTTGGGGGTCACCACAACATGAGGAACTGTATTAAAGGATCACGGCATTAGGAAGGTTGGGAACCACTGCTCTAGACCTTCACTGCCCAAATATGGGCATGTGTGGCTATTTAAATTTAATTAAAATTAAATAAAATTTAGTTACTCAGATGCATTAGCCACATTTCAAGTGCTCAATGGCCAGATATAAACTTTGTGGTTAAAATGTAAAATGGCATGAAATTTCTCCATGGGATGAAGAGTTAATAATTATCCCTATGGAGTAACTGGAATAATCTAATATTATTCAGAAAAATTTGAACACTTCATATCATTTAAGGGAAGAAAAAGTAATGTATATTACTTTAATGTATATTACTTCAATGTATATTCACTTCAATAATCAAGTAGTAATATGAAATACTGAAGTGATGAAAACTATATTCATCCATTTTAGGTCCACAGGCCTATAAGCATCTTGCTAATAATCTGTATATATAAAAGCCTAAGCGACCTGTCAACTGGTAGCTAATGATGCACACTGACACCAGGGGGCAGATGCTCAACACACAGGCATGGAAACATGGAACAGACTGATAAATCTCAGAGTGATAGGGAGTGCAGGAAGAGATTAACCCAAGATCTTATATGCATACTAGGGTTCCTCGGCTGGCCTGCAGGGATTTGGCTGAAACTAGCAGTCTGACATCCCCCCAGGAGTCCTGGATTGCAAGAGGGCGCAGGCCAGGCCAACAAACCCCACTGGTGCATGATTCACTGGGCCTCTAGTATTCTAATAATTACCAGAGATATCTCCATATTGTAAATTGTTCAGTAAAAAGAGGTTACTTGTGCACTAGCCATTTTTCCTCACTATTTAGATCTCTGCGGCCGAGATTGAAGGGTAGTGGGTTTGTATCCCTGTCAAGGGCATATACCTTGGTTGCAGGTTCCTCAGCCCCAGTACAGGCATCTGCAGGAGGCAACCAGTCCATGTGTCTCTCTCATGCCACAGTGTCTGTCTGTCTGTCTCTCTCTCTCTCTTCCTCCTCCCTCCCCTTCTACTCTCTAGAAATCAATGGGAAAAAATATCCTCCTGGGGGGATTAAAAAAAAGTTACTTGCAATTTGGATAGTTTTCATCTATCTCTTCACAGTATTCATGGACAATTACTTAAATGGTTTCATCTCACTTCTGCATCTATCAACATCATTTAGAATTGGTATTATCTTTTAGGCTGAACATAAATGGATAAATGGATGGATGGATAAACAGAATATTATAATGGCTATGCTTCCTAAATGTTTTCTATGTTTTTTATGGATAGCAAGTTTCTCACAAAATGTTTCTAAATGTTTACATTTGTATTACTTTTGCTTTTAAATTCTATTTTAGTTACCCATAGACTTCATACAATACTTAATCCAAAATTTTTAACATTTTTACACATATGAATATAATATACACAAACTTATAATACACCTACCCAAAAGCCACATATTTTTTATCTAGATAGGGAGCTGATTGTAGCGTGATGTAGAACTGTGAACCATTGCTGTGACGGCCTTTGTTGACCATTCCAAGAACTCCCCTTTTATTATGAGGAACTGAAAAGCCTTCATCTAGAAAAGACAATCAATAGTAGGTCATTAAAAATATTTCTATTATCACATGATCTCACTCATAAGTGGAATCTAATAAATAGATCCAGAGAGATAGAAGCATGGAACAGACTGGAATCTCAGAGGGAAGGTGGGGTGGGTTAGGTCACATGACAGGCATGGACTTTCAATAAAGACTCAAAGTTACGGAAATGTAAAGACTATGGTAGAAACTCAGAACCCTCTCATTACCTTGTCTGAGTCAGGAGTTCTGCCTGCCTCTGCCACTTACAGGGAAGATAAGGAGTAGCCCTCACTGCTCTGTGGTTAAAACTGACATCAGTTGTAACATATGATGTTAAGAGTGAAATGGAACTGCTTGTTTGAAATAGAAATCAGAATTTATGTGAAAAAGTCACCTTCTGAATTTATTTAAAATAAAGCTCATTCTGATACAGGGATCAGAAGGGCGAGAGTGTGAGAGCTGAATGGTGTGATCCATACAAGCCTAGGACAAAGAGGGAGAAACGGTGTGAAAGGATCCGTGGAGAGCAGGCCGGAAGGAATATGGGGTTCTGAAATGTAAAGGTCAATTCAATTTCCAATAGAAACACCAAAATTCAGAAAAATAAAGCTCATTCTGATACAACGGAAGCAACTACTTTAACTGTTGGAAACTGCATTGCATTCTCTGGTAAAAGTATAATCAGGCAGTTTGGGACATTTCCATATCATTTTCTGAGGATTGGTATGTCAAGTAGACAATCTGACCTCAATTCTACAATATCAATTTTTAAAAACTGCTCTGATTTTACCATCAACATTTAATAAGTTATTCACTAATTTCTTGTTATAGAAAAGTAAATGAAGTGTGATGCCTAGCAAGATGGGTATTTTTTCTATTGATTTTTAGAGACTGGAAGGGAAGGAGGAAGGGACCGAGGCAGGGAGGGATAGGAAATTATTATTTTTTATTTATGGAAGTTGGAGTTATTAAGGATAGACAAATGGCAGTATTTCTTGAAAAAAGATGATGATATGAGGGTCTGCTTTATAATTATTTTTGAGCATCCATTTATACCTTCTATATATATGCTAAATCTCACCAAAAAAAGTTCTTAAATAGCTAAATAAGTAAAAAGATCTAAATAAAAAGATCATTAGTTCTTTTTATTTAAAATGTTTTTTCTTTATTTTTTTTTAAAGAGTCATGGGTAGAGAGAAAGAAAAAAAGAGCCATCAATTTCTTGTTTCACTTATTTATGCATTTGTTGGTTGACTCTTGTACGTGCCCTGACCAGGGATTGAACCTGTAACCTTGGCATATTGGGACGATACTCTAGCCAACTGAGCTACCCATCCAGGGCTTCTTCAGTTCTTGTTTCTAATTTAAAAAAATACTTTTGTAGCCTTTACTGGCTTTGCTCAGTGGATAGCACTGGTCTTCGGACCAAAGGCTCCTGTGTTCAATTCCGGTCAAGGGCACGTACCTTAGTTGCAGGCTCCTCCCCAGACCGGGTTCTGCAGGAGGGAACCGATCAATGTGTTTCTCTCACATTGATGTTTCTCTCTGTCTTTCCCTCTCTCTTCCACACTCCTTAAAAACCAATAAAATATATATATATATATATATATATATATATATATCCTGTGAGAATTAAAAAAATCTTTCGTATAACTTTTAGGTGCATTATTGAGTAGATAGTACATCATACTCTGTGCTTTTTATTAAGATCCAGTTTCGTTGAAAGACAAGCAGATCTTGGGATTAGATAAATATCTTTTTAAAAATAGATTTTAGAGAGAAATACTGATTTGTTGTTCCACTTATTTATGCATTCACGTGTTGATTCTTGCATGTGCCCTGACCAGGGATTGAATCTGAAACCTTGGTGAACTGGGATGCTGCTCTAACCAACTGAGCTGCCTGGCCGAGGTAGATAATTAGATGTTAAGTGATGTGTCTATTAGGGCCCAAGCTAACATTAAGAAATTCATCTATTTAATGTACCAAGGATAATTTAGTATTTTTAAATATATGCCCCCTTTTTTTTTTTTTGGCTTTTCATGTAACTGACCATTTCTCTAGTCAGCCCAAGCCAATCTAGTCAGCAATTCTTCAAGGGTGGGAAGGACTAGAACTATTATACAAAGAATAGAAGGAGAAAAAAAGGGGTTAATATTCATCATCTAACATTCAACCTAGGATTTGGGAAGACAAAAAAGCAAAATTCAAAGCAATACAGATTTTCAAGTTAAAAAAAACTAAAATATTAGGTACTTTATAAAATAATCATTGGATTAAATATGATTTATTCTTTTAAATTCACTGTGTTAAACCCAATAAAAGTAAGTTTTGTGGTTGTAGTGGTTTTTAACAAGCTCTGGGTTTTAATTCTTCATCTCGTGGAAATAGGGTCCCATGAGAGAAATTGGGAGGAAGAACTGTCAGGCTGATGTATTAACAATCCACAGGAGTGAAAGGAGGAAAACCCATGCTGTGGCTGTTCTGAGTACTAGTCATGGTCTCTCTCCCACAGTCACCTGGAGCATCCCTCTCTTCACTTGACTAGTTACTGGATTTCTAATCCTGCATTCCACACAAGCAAAACAGTAACAGAAACTTCCCTAAACACACCGGGCCTCCCTGGCACCAGAGGCCAGGCCTCCATCTGGAGACCAAACCCCCACAACCGTCTAAGGATGGGAACGAAAGGTAATTGACAGAGGCACAGGGATATCCAGAGGGGCAGGTGAGGAGATGAGCTAAGAGATCAGTCTCCTCCTGGACAGAAAGCCCGAGTTGTCTGAGACCGTGCCTCCAAGCAGAAAGAGTTTGGGCGATCTGATAACAGCTGTGGGGTGGAGTGGTAGGGTGGATTCTCATCGGGGATTAAAGATGCCAGGAAAGCTTCCAGGAACAGCTGGTCTGCACTAAACTCACAAGCTGCTCTGGGCCACTGCCCTCACTCCCAGGCAGCTGGTTGTTCTTTCTTGTCACACAGCACTTAGTTCTTCCTTTGGAATAAAAATCAGCACAGCACCTGTAGTTTACCTGTTTAAACATCTGTCATAACAAAAGCACTACAATCCTTGAAGGTAGAAACTTGGTCATATCATCTTTTTTCCAAAGGCACTAGTGCAATTGTAGGCACCAAACTAAGAGTTTCCTGATTTATGAATAAATAAATGAATGGTGTCACTTGCATGGTTTCGTTTGATAAAGCTGTCTCATATGATTTTAAAAGGAAACTAGCTTTTACTTTTCCTTTGCACTTTGGCCATTCAATATTATTTTTAAAAACCTTTTCAGCCTGACTGGTGTGGCTCAGTGGTTGAGCATGGACTTTATGAACCAGGAAGTCACAATTCAATTCCCAGTCAGGGCATGGCCCAGGTTGTGGGCTCGATCCCCATAGGGGGCGTGCAAGAAGCAGCCAATAATGATTCTCTTATCATTGATGTTTCTCTCTCTCCTTTTCTCTTCCTCTCTGAAATCAATAAACATATCTTTTTTTTTAATTAAAAAAATAAAACCTTTTCATTATATTAAAATACAGACAGAAAAAAGCCACAGAAAATGAATATACAGTTATTATTCATTATTATAAGGCAAACACCTTTTTAACCACCACCCAGGCCAAGAGAAAGAATTTTGCCAGCTTCCCCTGAAATCCCAAATTAAGTCCCTCTCCACACCCTCAAAGTCACTATTTCCCTGACTTTTACATAATCAAGTATTATACTTAACGTTTCCTTGTAGTTTTACCACCTAAGTGTACATCCCTAGGTAGGAAAGTTTAGTCATTCCCATTTTAAAATACTTGTTGTGCCTTTTAAATCTCTTTTAATCTACAGGTTCTGCCTCTATTCCTGTCTTTTCCTTATACTTTATCTGTTAATGAACCTTTTTAAATTTCTAGAATTTCTCCCATCCTGGATCTTGCTCATTGCACACACATGGTGCAGTTCAATATACTTTTCCTCTGTTCTCTGTCCTGTCAGTTTGGCTATATTACTTGTGTCAAAAATGTTTATTTGCTTCACCTTGATTGTTAAGTCAGGGAAGGAGTTGAGCATAATGAATTTTACCCCACTTAAGTGTGGTTTCCTCCGGGTGTTTCATAACCATAACATATGTGTAAAACTGTTTCTGTTTTTATTAGGTTACAGTCTTATTTTTTAATGTGCCACTGGGAACGTTTTGTTTTCAATCTCATTTCTGCCATAAGTCTTGTGGTTTCTATTGCATGATTTTACACGGCACAGAGATCTTTAACACATGATGGCATAACTGGTTGTATTTCTTGCAAATTGGCAGCTGGATCCAGAAGCTCAGACTCCTGTTCTATCCATTTGGTGGTGTGTTCTCTCAACAGACAGATCATCATGTCTATTCTGGTTTGGGGATGGTAGCAGAGACTGTGATATAGCAAATGCCTACATCCAAATGCCCACGATGGGGGCAGCAAAATGGTGATACTCTAATTCTATTATTTTCTTTGCACTAGTAATTGGAATACTTTTATGATAAGTTGGTTCCCCTTGTTTACAGTTTAGTCTAGCTCTCATAGAAAAGACAAGATGAATGGTTGATTCTTTCTCTATATTTATCAGTTTCCAAAGTAATGAACTCATTGCCTATCATTCCAGAGGGTCAGGTGAGGAAAGGAGTGGATACATCAGTCTTCTACTAGACAGAAGGTCCAAGTTCCAAGCAATTAGGCTTTATTTATAAAATAATGTTACTATGAACTCATGGGTTTAATATATGTGTTGGATTTCAAATAATTGCAACTATTATTCAAATTACTCCATCTTTGGCCAGTGAGAAGCTCTTCAAATTGGCTCCCGAGGCCTTTGACGTGATCCTAGTAAATCGTTAATAGCGTTCTTGCTCTCTGATGACAGCTTGACTAAACATGAGGTTCCAGACTCATTTTGTAATTTCCTTTCCATATTTGGAAACTACCATTTCTCCCAAAAGCCCTGGTTTCTTTAACTGAGAAATGACATTTCAAAACAACAATCTAAATGCTAGGAATGTGTATCATGATCGGATTGGTGGGTGGTTGTAGACCAATTCAGTAGACACTGCTATATATATATCGATGATAGATGAGATACTTCTTGAGTTTAAAGTGGGGTTTCCAATTCAAATTCAGGACTGTAGAATATTTAACTTACTAGCCTCTACTATATTTCATCTGCCCCCATCACACCATGTTTGGAGGGCAACCAATCAATGTTTGTCACATACATTTTTCTCCCCCCCCCCCCCTCTCTCTCTCTCTCTCTCTCTCTCTCTCCCTCCCTCCCCCTCCCTCTCTCTTTCTCCCCCCCCCTTTCCCTCTCTCTCTCTCTCTCTCTGTCTCTCTTTCTCAGGCCATGTTTGGGGAGCAACCAATCAATGTTTGTCACATACATTTCTCTCTCTCTCTCTCTCTCTCTCTCTCTCTCTCTCTCTCTCTCTCTCTCTCTCTCTCTCTCTCATCAATGAAAAACGTCCTGGGTGAGGATTTTTAAAAAACACACAAAACACATAAATCCAACTTCCTCCTTCTACTTCTACTTCTTCAAGGTACCTATCTGTTGTGTTTATTTGTTTATTTGGTCTTATTTCTGTCTAGTTTGTTTCGGAAATTTTATTATTCTTTCCTCAGTTTAATAACCTCATGCTGAGATTTCCTAATTCTGATTTATGAGTTCTTTCCTATCTTGTATCATTTTAGTAATATCTTTTAGCTCATTTTGAAATTGTCACAGTTTTGATCTTGTTGTGAACATGTCTTTGTAGTGTGCTTTTATTATCTGTGGTACTGTTACTCTGTTCCTTATTCCTTTTTTTTCCTTCTAATAACCATGAAACTTTTTGCTGTTCATTTTTATGTAAAAGTAGTTTTCCTAAACATTTAGAAGCAGGTGTGGCTTTAGAAGGAAAGCAGCTTTTCTAACTTCACAAACCTCCTTTTTGTGCTGTTTTCAATTGGTGGTCAACGATATGCATCTTGCTTTCTGAGATTTCTTGTGTTCGCATTCCCTCCTCCTCACTGTTTTCCCTCTAGCCTGCATAATCTGGTTCCATCCCCAGCAATACCTCCTCAATCCAGCCTGTCCTGGAAGAGGGCCATTTCAGATCAGGTTCCAGAGGCCTAGAGGCTAGACTGAACCTTCCTACGAGCCCCCTGCACACCCCAGCAGTTGGCTATTTTGGGGTTCAGCTGTTCTCAGGTCCCTCGGCTACTCTGCTTTATCGCACACAGATTTATGGCTGTTGGCCGGCAGTGGCTGTTGGCAGTCTGCTTCTCACCTGTTTGTACTTTGGAATTTATGTAACTTAGGTTATCGGTTTTGTTATAAACGTTATCCATGAGTTTTCAGTTTTTCTATCTAATTCTTTTGCTGGCTTTCAATTTTTCTATCTAATTATGTTGTCTGTTTTTATTTTGGGATTTTAAAAAATTAATAAACTACACCACCACCACCACTACCCATCTTTCCAGGATCCCAGACAGCCTCAACAGGATAATCAAGGTGCCAATTCTGAGAATGGCAAATTACAAGCTTTAAAAACCAATTCCTTTTGACCCTACAATCATAATTCTAGGAATTCATCCTAAAGAAATTATACTTAGGAAAGTGAAAACAATGTGTGTACAAAACTGTTCTGGTCTAACCTGGAATGCCATTTTTAACTCCCACTTTTAGTATTTTTTTTTAAGTATTTTTTAAAATTTATTGATTTTTTACAGAGAGGAAGGGAGAGAAGTAGTTAGAAACATCGATGGAAAAGAGTCATCGAATAGCTGCCTCTTGCACACCCTCTACTGTGGATATGTTACAACCAAATTACACGCCCTTGACTGGAATCAATCCGCAGGCTGATGCTCTATCCACGAGCCAAACCGGTTTTGGCTAACTCCCACTTTTAATATGTTACCCCAAACACTATCTTAAATTGTGAATTGTCCTGTCCTGTTAAATTTGCATTATCAACTAATATATGACTGATAAAATTTAAAGATACATGCCTTCAAATGTTGGTCCATAAATTGACTCTCCACCATCTCCTTTTCCAGCCTCTATATCTGCAAAATAACAATAAATACTATAATTCTGATACTAAAAAGGCAAGCACAACATTGGCAGGGTGAAAAATGCTTTCAATTATGATTCCCCTTATATAATTGACTACAATAAGTTTTATACCATGAAAATATTACTATAATGCGTTTTATAAACAATTTTACATTCAAGACACTATTTTTTTTTCCTAATAATTCTTGGAGGTAGGTTAAATTACAATGTAAACTTTGAAGTGATGAAGTTTCCTATCTAATAAAGAGGGAACATGCTAATGACCCTCATGCCATTGCAAAGATGGCAGCACCCACAGCTAATAAGGAGGGAATATGCTCATTGACTGCCATGCCCTCAAAGATGTCAGTGCCCAGTTCCCTCAGCCCTGCAAAGGCAGCAGGTGTGTGGCAAGGCCAGGCCTGCCCCATGCACCTGCCTCCGGAGTTCCCCAGTCCCTTCAGTCACCTAGGGCCTGCCCAAGGCACAGGCAAACCTCGGATGGTGGCTGCCCAGCTGCCCAGGGCTACCCAAGGCTCAGGTAACTCATAATCCGGGACCCCTTGGGGGATTTCAGACTGCCAGTTTTGGCCCATTCCCTGCAGGGCCAGCTGAGGCTTGTACTGCTGACAGTGGCACAGCAGAGGTGTGATAGGACCTCCCGTCCCCCCCATCACCGGGTCACCTCCCATCCCTGAGGGCTCCCCTACTGTGAGAGGGGCTGGCTGGGCTGAGGGACCACCCACTCCGGCTTCTAGTTAAATTATAATTGTGATAATGATTTTTTTTAATTGTGTGTTCATATAAATTTTGCTTACTTCACAAGTTATCATATAGTCCATCTTTTAAGAAAAATGGAAAAAGGATAAAGTAGAAACAGTAAGATATTTCTAGAACAAGAATAAAAATAGGTGCTTTATAAAGAATTAATGTTCAAATTTTCATTCCTTGGAACCCTACAGTGATAACTCATTACTTTGGAAATGGAATTCATTTGTAATGATTTTTTAAGTCAAAGATATTTTTTAAAATATCAATGCAGCTATAAAATATAATTCTTTACTTTTTAAATATTTTTGTTAATCCTCACCTGAGGATTTATTTTTCATTGCTTTTCAGAGAAGTGGGAGGGAGGGAGAAGGAGAGAAAGCAGAAGAGGGGGGAGGGCACTCTGCCATCAGTCTGTTGTGAGAGACACACATCGACTGGTTGCCTTCTGCAAGCACACGCTCCACCAGGGGGCAAGGAGCAAATCGCAACCCAGGAACATGCCCTTGAACTGGAATCAAACCCTGACTCTTCAGTGCGCAAGCCAGTGCTGTAACCATGGAGCACACCGGCCAAGGCTGATTTTTTATATTTTTGATGAAGGAAGGGACACCCAAAGTCCTAGAACCCACAGAAGTGGGGCCTAGAACCCTAGGCCCTTAAAGAATAGAAAGAGAAGAATCAACAGTGAGCTGGATGTGGACTATAGCACTGAAGGGAAAGTCCAGAGAAAGGTAAGGAGGGGAACAGAGCCAGTCAATCTTGGAAAGCAAGCCACCAAACTTGTGAACACTATAGAAAAGCAGCAGAACAGAGCACTCTGTGAAATTTTGAACTAAATATTTTAAAATATATATTTACTGCGCCCTCTCATAATCCGGGACCCCTTGGGGGATTTCAGACGGCCAGTTTTGGCCCATTCCCTGCAGGCCAGGCTGAGGGACCCCACCAGTGCACGAATGGGTGGACCAGGCCGCTAGTCCTCTATTCTGAGAAGCTTGTGGTCATGAGGCCCTACTGGCGTCTCGACCAAACAACCGGTCAAAGCTGCCCAGCAGAGGCGTGCGGGAAGGCCTGGGGTCCCGCCAGTGCGGCGGTTCAGGGTCTCACACAGTTTCATGTGCTGGGCCGCTAGTATGCATATAAGATCTTTGGTTAATCTCTTCCCGCCCTCCCCCTTCTCTCTGAGATTCATCAGTCTGCTCCATGTTCCATGCCTGTGCGTTGAGCATCTGCCCCCTGGTAGTCATTGTGTGTCATAGCTACACGGTCACTTAGGCTGTTAATATATATACAGATTATTGACTAATTTATCCCTAGCGGATATTTCCCCCAAAGCCTCCCAAATTTAATTTTGTGCTGTTAACCAGGCTTCCTAGTCTGTAAAGCCAAAGGACTGACCTGAAAAGAACCAAAAAGGGAACCAAAATGCTCTAGATCTCAGTTTTTAGTTGTAATAATGTAACATCTTTGGTGAAAAATAAGTTGTTTTCCATTTATTCTATTTTCAAATTCCCACCTTTAGTGTGTTTCTTAAAAGCTTTGTATTTTCTAAGTATTCTTATTTATTTAGCTGAGTACTTAAAATTACGTTTTGTTTAAAAATGTTTTCCTCCTTTCTTATATGGCTTATTTCAGAATATTCCTGATAACATACTTTAGATTTATAATTAGAAAAATTTTAAAGAGTATGAATATCTATGAAAAACATCCTTTAAATATATACAACATTGTTGGAGCACTTACTCCTTAATCCTGCTCAACTATGCCAACTGTGGGGTGTACAGGCCCTCAGATGCTGGGTATTAGAAGAAGATATGAGAAGTCGTAGGCCTATAAGAGAGACTTTATTGCAGACCAAGTAGCCATCGCTATTAAGGAGCCATCAGATAAAGCCATTCTTTAAGGCAGCTGTGCAAAGCAGCCATGTACTGGCTGGTCAGTAACATCCCATATAATCCTATATAATAAAGGCCTAATATGCTAGGTGTCTGACTATTCGACCATTCCCTATGACGTGCAACCACCAGGGGACAGACGCTCTGACCAGTAGGTTAGCTTGCTGCTGGGGTCCAGCCGATCGGGAGTGGGCGAGATGGGTCAGACAGGTCCTAGAGCCCTCCTGTGGTCCCTTCCCAGCCCGATCTGTACCGGGTGGAGTCCCTTGGCGTGGCTTGTGCCCTCTCACAATCCGGGACCCCTCAGGGGATGTCAGAGAGCCGGTTTCAGCCTGATACCCGCAGGCCAGGCCAACTCAGACAAAAGAGGCTTCTTGCCAAATAGTGACATCAATGTTTGGGCTATAGAAAGGTATACCTGTGCAGCACATACAGCAAAACTGCTGTGTCCTTGCTTCTGTACGTGTATGGCAAATTAGCCTTGAACATCCTCTGATTAGGGTTCCCACAAACATCTAATATTAAATATATCTAAGCCTATATGCATTTTACAAAAGTAAGTAAAATTTTGGACATTCTGATTTGATGTTGCAATTAAGTTGTACTTAAGTTTGAAAACTCACCTCCTCCTTGTACCCAAGCATTCTTTACTATTCGATGAAAAATTGAACCAACATAATGTAGTTTGATGCCACTTTGAGAAAACCCTGCTTTTCCTGTGCACAAGGCCTGAAAATTTTTACATGTTTTGGGACATTTATCACAGTATAGCTAAAAAATAAAATTCAAGATTTAAAAGATTAAATATTTAACATTTTTATAGTTACAGATTTCCACTCCCCACCCCCTTCCAACTTACTAAAAAACAACAAAAAACCTCTTACCTCAAAAACCAATCTTCCAATTGGATTAGAATCAATAGAAACATTCAAGAACACAAAATCATGCTATTAAAATTCAGGAGAAAAAGACAATGCAGGTCAATATCTTGGAAGAAAATTCTAAAAGTGACCAAAAACAAAATAATAATGTTTCTATTGATAAGATGTTAACAGCATTAACAGTGGAGAATATAACAACAAAATTAAAAGGATAATTTAAGGAGTTTTGCTTCATTTTATTATATCAAGTCTTTACAACCTAAATAACACATTTTTTAAAAACTTTTCAACAACATTAACCCAAAATCAAAACCAAGAACACCTGGCTTAGGTAGCCACTGCATTACAAACTAATTGTGGAAAGGACAGTCAGTCCCTTTGAAAAGAGAGACTGGTAATTCTTTTCTTTACTCAGTAATTTTGGGGAAAAAGCCATCATGAGCGCCTGGATTAGGTTACCATGTGTTCTGGATTTTCAGAGGCAGCTCAGATTAGCTAACAAAGCCAGGCCAGCCTTTCTGAGAGGGAAAATAAGGCTCCTAAATCCATAGGAGATGTGATTCCAGGGACTGGGCGAGGGGTGCAGTGCTTTTGATGCTGTGCAATCATGTCCCAAGTTCCCAGAGACCCCCAGCTCGTTTACAATTGCCATCCTTCCCAGTAGAGACAACTAATGTTCCTGAGATGTGTACTCCTATCAAAAGGCATCCAAAATGAAAGCACTAGTCACAGTGGCATTCACCTAGGGAGCAGAGCACATTGAATGGAATACATTTTGAATATTAGGCACCTTTCTCAAACATAAAATGCCATCTGAACATAATTTGCCCTGCCTTATTTCTTAAAAATCTGGGAAACATAAATGAAACCAATTTTAAATGTATCACTATCATTAATTTTATATCACTCTAACCTTTATTATTATTATTGATTTAAGAAAGGGAGAGAAAGAGAAACATCAATGATGTGAGAATTGCTGATCGACCACTTCCTGCATGTCCCCCATTGGGGATGGAGCCTGCAAGTGGGCACATGTCCAATACCTCCTGGTTCATAGATCAAAGCTCAACTGCTGAGCCACACCAGCCTTATAATATTTTTAATTGAAATATTGAAATAATGTGTATTCCGGCATCCATACTAATTATAATTAACCTGAGGCCCAATTCACAAAAGTCATGCAAGGCCGCAGCTGCCTCGTTCCTCGCAGCACAGGCTTCGTCCGGATGATCACTTTACTTTTTGGCCTAATTAACATATTAGCTCTTTATTATATAAGAGTTGTGCCTCTCAGCTTCTGTACTACAATTTCTTGATTATAAAAGCATTATTACTTTAGAATAAGAGGCTTAAAAATAAAACAAATTTTAAAAATAGAATAAGAGTCAACTTCACAGGCTTAGGAGGGGGGAAAAAGGATTTACTGAAAATCATGATTCCCTGTGCAATATCTTATTTTTCTGGGGTTGTTGAGAGCAGACCAAACACACAAATATAATTATGTAGCATATCAATCCAACCCAAAGGTAAACAAGTCCCTGGATTTTACTCAGCAAGAAAAATCTACCATTGGGAGGTGGGGGGGGGGGGGGCTCTAAGGATTTCCTCTGGAACGTAAGTCCCCTCCCCTCACAGCCACCAGTTAATGGAAACTCTTTACCTCTAACCCCTGCTGCTTTCCAGAAGGCTGTTCTGTCACCAGGCATCCCTCCCTCACACCAGCCTGTTTTTGCACAGCCCTAAAAAGTTTTCCAGAAAAGCAAAGGACTGTGTCATAACTCTTTATGAAAAGTTCCCTCTTGATTCAGAATGGATGGGAAGTTCAACCTTTCTTTAGTGGATCTGTTGGGTGTTTTTTGTTTTTGTTTTTTCTTCTTCCTATTTAACAGCTGAACACCTTTCCTATTTGGGGAATTCCCCACAGGGCCCAGCGACCCTCTACAGACCTTGAAGGGGCCAGATTCTCCCTCTTCCCAACCTGTGAGAGCCAGAATGCAGGGATATCCCAGGGATGCAGGGATATTGAACCCAGACCAGCGGGCACCGTGGCAGATCTTGGCTGCATATTCCTGATGTGGAGAAGGGTGCGCCAGGCTTCCTTTGGTCCCTATCTGCTTTCCAAAGCAGGTTCTCCAACTTACCTGCCACTTGTGAGGTTACCAATATCCCTTAAATACATGCCCTTTTTCCTTAATCTAAATTAATCAGAGTAGCTTAGTATTGATGACATGAAGAATCATGACTGATACCCTCATTCTCTCAGCCTCATTTCTCCAGTAATTCTGGTCTCTTTGTTGTCCCAGTTATTCCCAGAGCACACCATGTACTTCTAAACTCCTATCCCTTTGGGATTTAACTGCTATCAACATTAAGTACCGCCATGCACCCGAGTTTCTAGCATTTTCCAAGTGCATTCATTGTTTATTCAACCAACTATTCGTGGAGCAGCTACTGTGTTTCAGATTCCGTTCCATGCAGGGGTTAAACAGGGATGCAAGATACTGGTCTTTGTCTCTGCACAGCTCAGAAAGGCACTGGATCTCTCTGTGGGCCCAGGCCACCAGGAACATGAAGTAATCTTCAGCATGTGGTATAGTTGTTGCTACAAACTTTGTGAGCAAAACTACAAATACTTTTATCTCTATTGCCATCCAATCATGATGTCTGTCCCTCACTGTCTTGACCTCAGACTTCATGACTGTCCTCTGCCACAGACACCCCAGTGACATTACATCCTGCTGTCACCGTGTGTCATGCTTTAAAATGTCACCTTTCTTCCAAAACTTTCCATTCTCCTGGTGCAGTATATGTCATGTGGGTGTTGGTACTAATTAAAATATTCCACACTAAAGGTGAGTGATAGGTTTGACCTTCTTTGAGGGAGAGTCTCTATAAATTTTTTTATTTTTATTTTTAAAATATATTTTATTGCTTTTTTTGCAGAGAAGAGAGATAGAAACATTGATGAGAGAGAAACATCGATCAGCTGCCTCCTGCACACCCCCCACTGGGGATGTGCCCACAACCAAGGTAAATGCCCTTTGACCGGAACTGAACCTAGGACCTTTCAGTCCGCAGACCAACACTCTATCCACTGAGCCAAACCGGTTTCGGCAAGAGAGTCTTTATATTTTAGCACAAATGATAATGTCTGTAAACCTCTAAGGGAGTGGGAATGTTTGGAGATACTCCTGCCTGCCAAACCCCTGCCACATTATAATCCTTTGCAAACCTGGTCTCCTAATCTTTCATATTCCCTTCATTAGGATATCAGTAATTAATGCTGAGTCAACATAAATAATCAAAGATTTCACTATTTTTATTTAAAAATCAGTGTAACTTGCCTTGGTGTCGCTTAATAATTTAGTAGAAAAGTCCACAGTAAGTGCCTCATAAAGTGCAGGGGGCTTAAAGTCAATCATATTCCACACCTTATGGGCCCATTTCTGAAGTTCAAGTACATCACCCAGCAGCTGATCATTAATGAAACACATGACATTGGAAGAATATTCCCAGACTTCATTCCTAAGTTCCTGTAAAGGAAAAAAAAAATGTAACAAAGAAAGAAAACAACAATAAGCAGTGCTAAATCCACAAGCCACATCTTGAATTCAGCTCTAGATCTAAATCTTTTATATATTTTTTGCCATCTCTCAGAATTTTGCTGTCAGCAGGAATTCAAGAACATTGTTTAAGACTCTGACATCACTTAAAGCAAAGAATAACCTAAAAATAATCTTAAAAATGATATAATCAAAGAAAACAGATGGTGACCTGGTAATAAAAAAATATGTATGTAGCAAACTTGTTTCAATAACTTGAAACAAAAGGCCATCTGTGGTATCATTTCTTCTTTTTATTTTTGGTTAATTCTCACCTGAGGATATTTTCTCCATTGCTTTTCTGAGAGTGAAAGGGAGGAGGGGGCAACATCGACCACATACGCCACCATGGGAGTGGGGAGGGAACCCACAACCCAGGTGCGAGCCTGCAACCCCGTTAGGAACCCTTAACCTGGAATGGAATCCGAGACCCTTTGGGCGATGCTCCAACCATTGAACCACACCGGCCAAGGCTGTGGTATCATTTCTGAAGCACATCTTACTGTGGGCATACATGGGAGTGTGCATAAATGAGAAGGTCACGGGTTCTGAGGGAGACACGGTTTTCAGAAAGAATGCTTTATTCATGGAGGTGGGGTCAGGGTGAAGGCCAATAGGGACTTCTGGGTACTCGAGGGGCATTGAGGAAGAGGACTCACCTGCATCAGCACTTTCAAGTACTAAGTCCTTCAAAATGAAGTGCATTTTCATCCACACCACACTGCCAGTCAACCTCCTAAATCCCAGGGTGTCCCCCCCACCTCTGAGGATTCTGATTTTTTAGTCCCAGTATTGTGTCACATGTCAAAACCATGGCTAATTTGGGACAGCTGTTCTCTAATTTTAGCGGGCAATCAAAATTACAACTTCCCAAGGCCCCACCTGAGTTTCTGATTCTGGGGTGGGGCCTGAGAACATGCATTTCTGAGAACATCCCAGAAGATGTGAGTGAGTGATGTGCAGGGAAAGAGGGGTAAATAGCAGAGAGGAGAGAAAGGCATTTCAAAAGCCCTGAAGCCATCCCTCAGATGTGCAACACATTCTGCTGAAGACCAAGGCCGGCCTGGACCTAATCAAATGTGCTAAGAAACACTACATCTGACATGTGACACAACGCTTACAGTGAAGGAAGAGAAGGCCTGAAAAGGAAGAGAAGGTTAAAATGATAATTATCCAGGAGAGGAGGATTAGAGAAGGAAGAATAAGGAATAAAGAATAGGAAAGAAGCAGCAATGATTATCTAGAAAGCCTCGTTCAGGCCTCATCAGAAAAGCAGGAGTAAGAGAACACAAAACATTTCAAGGTCAACAACCCAGGCTGAAAAGGGCAAGTAAATACTCTTTAAAGAGTAGAGTGGGAAAGTATCAGAGGAGCAGGTGCAAGTAAAACCTAAGATCGGGGCTCCTGGAGGTGCCGAGCGTGATGCTGGTTGGTACACAGTATAGTAAGTCTGATGATAAAAATTAAGAAAAACACTGGTTTATGTTAGGGTGCCCGATGGTCCTGGTTTGCCCAGTACTGACCCCTCTTTGGCATTAAAATTTCTGTGTCCCAGGAAACTCCTCAGTGCCAGGTAAACCAGGGCCATTGGCCACTCTGGTTGTCAGGATTAGAGTTAATATATGTAGAAGCTATTAGAATAGTGTCTGGCATACAATAAGCACCGTTTGTAAGTGTTTGCTATGATTCTATTTGAATGCCAATAAAAAGGTATTATGGCTATGAAAATGGCATGAGACTGAACGAGTGGTACTCTTGACTCAGTTTTGTACCATTCCTGTGACTGGAGAGTGAAGTGGTCTCCCGTAAAGCCACTCTATCTGCATGATAATCACAGGGTCACAAGACTTCCTTGTGCAATTGAGCACAGAATAATCGAAACTGGTCTGGTCAGGGGAATGGGATTTCATCAGTCCCTGGCCAGATGGGGTGGGGCAGGGAAACCAGGACTGGAAGTCTCTACGGGCCTGGGCCAGGGTGTCAAGCAAGACGTATACACCACCATTCCAGCCCCCACCACCACTCAAAATGAGACATTGCTGAGCTAGGATGCCACCTTAGAATCCACATCACATCCTCCGGGCATCCTCCGGGCATCACATCCTCTCTTGGCACCCAAGAGAAACCTATCTGCCCTCTGCTAGCCCTGGGATGCACCAAGGGTACTGCTGGGGAGGGAATGCGGAGAAGGACACTTCAGTTAGAACAAGGTGGCCCTGTGGGAACGTGGTGCCTGTCGTCAGAGCTCCCCTAGGCAACACAAGCCCCCCATTATATCTGTGATCCAAAACCTTCCAGAGTGAAGAGTGCCAGGCCAGACCACCTGAGCTTCAGGATGTCAGAGGAAGTGTGAGTGAGTGATGTGCAGGGAAAGAGGGGTAAATAGCAGCATTAAGAGTTTAAAACTTATCTTTATCACATGCCTTCCTAAAGAAAATTCTGTAAATATTTTACTTTTTCTTAAAATCAGCCTGGTAAAATGAATGAAATAACTTAGGAAAAGTGCATGATTTAGAGAAATAAAATTTAGTTGCACTAAAATTACTACTTCAGTTTTTCCAAAACAATGCATAAAAATACTTCAGGCAAAACTCTGCTCATTTCCCCCACCCCAAATATCCTTTACCCTTTTTTTCCTCTGTAGATATTGATCCCATGCAAATTCTTGAAGAGGAACCATTATAGGATCATCAAATTTGGATGGAAAATTAGTCTTCAGACACTAGGTTTCAAAATAGAACAATTAGTTTAGAGGAAGTTCTTTTTTAAAGTAGTAAAAATTTCCCCCAATTTTTATGATGTCTCCAAGAAATTTTATACCATGCATATCCAAGCTGCAGTCTGGTTTGATGCCCCTTGCCAGCCATCCAGAACCCTGTGTTTACTTCCATTAAGCCACTCCCCAGTCCATACTAGTGCTCCGTCTTATTTGTTTCTTTGAGGACAAAGACTATGTCTTAGTCCTATATTTCCACTGACCTCAACATCTGGCATAGAGTAGATCATTTATTTACACACAGCAACTGAATAAACAAACGAACAAATAAACAAGATTGTGCCAACAGTTTTGTGATATGCCACGTTCTTTTAGGACCAGTTTTCCTAAATTAAACCCTTACTAACCCTCAGAGGATCTATGGATACTTTTAACTAAAATAAATAGATGCTTATTTATTTAATTATTGCTTTAATTCACTGATATATGGAAAATGACCAAAAGGATATTGTTGTGGTTATACCTCTTGGGAAAAAAAGAAATACTAAATATGTTTGGTTTAGATATTGAGCATGTTTTAGTTTAACATTTTGTCTGTTTGATTCAGAGAAAATTCTTACTAGTTAATAATCCCTGTCAAAAATAAAAAGTTTTAGTTCCTAATATGTCATCCTTTCCTTCCTCCTAAAGCAAGAGAAGACAATTGAGACAATAACCATTGGGCCTCACCTTTCTGCGTGGGTCTGAGAAATAGATGGGCCAATAGGGAGAGGTGACAGCTGGCCTCTCCCATCGTGGTCTAACAGGACACTGACCTGACACGTTTCATCAGGGGTAGACGGGCAGAGTGTGAGTGCATCTTGCCTTGGGGCTAGGGATAGCAGAAGAGGGCAACAGCAATCTGACCATTTCCTTCCTAGACTACTGTCCCCAGCCAACAGATGATGTGTGCTTTTTTCTCCCATCCAGTGTCTGCTGAGTCTGAGGCAATTGTGCAGGATGGCTGTCTCGAGGGACCACCTGGAGTAACTAATAAGCTTGATAGTTTTCAAATTATGTGGTTAAGCACACTTAACCACACTTTATTCATAATTCAGTGTTTGTTCTAAAATGGACTCCGTCCAAATTAGTATATATGTAATACTTACTCTTTTTAAAAAATATATATTTCTTTATTGATTTCAGAGAGGGATAGATAGAAACATTAATGATGAGAATCATTGATCAGCTGCCTCCTGCACGCCCCCTATTGGGGATCAAGCCCACAACCCCAGCATATGCCCTTGGCCGGAATCAAACCTGGAACCCTTTAGTCCGCAGGCCAACGCTCTATCCACTGAGCCAAACTGGCTAGTGGATAAAGAGTAATACTTACTCTTTACAAATCCGAGTATTGATCAGTTACTTAGGCATCTGGGATTACTCACAAATTATCACATTAAACTTATTTTCACAGATCCTTTATTAAGATAGAACTAGCTGAATTTACATTGATGTCTTTATATTCAAATGGAGCTACAGTAGGCAAAAGCTTACGAAAGGGAAATTATCATTACTAACATAACAACGGCATTGTTTTCCTAGTGGGTGCTCTACAACAGCGAAAGGCATTTTTTTCTTGACTTCATATGGGCTCTACAGCAGGCCAAATCAAAAAATCAAAAGAAGAATCATATTTCATGTCATATGACATTACATGCAAGTCAAATTATAGTGTGCACAATGGTTTTATTGGAAAACCATTCCTCATTTACATACTGTGGGTGCTTTTGCACCACAAGGACAGAGTAGTAGCCATTGAGAATCTCTGGGCCCGAAGGCCTAATAATCTAAATCTGGACTTTACACAAAAACACTGCCAACACCTTCTCTACAGTGTGGAGCAGGCACAGAAAACACTTGCTTTCATAAAAGGAGCTGAGAAAAACAAAGGGATAAAATCCCTCAAAATGAATTACAATTTAGGCCATAAAATTAGGTTGATCCCATCAGTCCAACTAACACAATCTCTACTTGGTTTGATGATCCATATATTGTTTCCACAGCCTTCTGATCACTTATTCCCTTCATTTTGATGTAAGCTTTACCTATTTCACAAATTAGTTACTACTTCCTGACATAATGTAATTAAATTTTCTTTAACTCTGTGGACTTGGAATAGGCAAGATAGGAATTTAAGATTTTTTTCTGTTTGGGAACATTTTGTGTCAAGTATCCAGCTGAGTACTTTGGAAGATATAAACATGAATAATGTATTGTCCCAGAGTCTAGTGGGAAGGAGAAAAGCTTGGAATAATTTTAAAGCAACAGTTCTGGAGCAAACCCCAAAGACATGCTGAATCCTACATTTCTACATTCCCCCAGCACTGGGGTTATGGGCGTGTTGCAACATCACTGACCTGGCCACATCATTCCAACTAAAGTGTTTTTCCATCTAGATCAATCTGTGTGTTTACCAACAATTATCTGTATTCTCCAAAGCACCTGACAGTGGGTCATTTATTAAGAAATCCCCTTAAGCACCTACTTCGATTGGAATGTACTGACTGCTATAGAAACTTTAAATAATAATAATAATAATAATAATAATAATAATAGTAAACTTCCCAAATGGCTCTCAAAATTTACTGGGGAGTGGGAATTTGTAAAAAAAAAAAAAAAAAAAAAAAAAAAAAAAAAAAAAAAAAAGTAAGTCAGCTAATTTAATTATATGGCAGCTTTTTCCTAAATATTTTTTCGTGAATCTTTAAAAATCTGTCATTCCAGTTAAAAATCGATGCGGAATAACATGTGTGGCTATGTAGAGGGGAGGAATTACCTTTATTCCCAGCGAGGTTCTGAAGGCTTCCCTCGCTCGGAAGGCCTTCTAAAGGCACCCCTTCTCGAAGTGGAATGCCCGCCCCCAGAACCCGCCCGCGTCCCCTGCGCCCTGAGATCTCAGCCGGGGCATCGCCTCCCGGAACATCCACCTCCCCCGCACCCCCGCCACCCCCGTCGGCCTCCACGGGGGCGGGGCGGGCGAGGACGCGGGAAGGGCCGCCCGCATTGGCGGCTGCTTCGCCGCCGTTACCTCCGCGGTGCTCTTCGCCATCTGGAAGGCGGTGCTCTTGAAGACCCCCACCACCTTCACCTGCAGCAGCGGCTCGGGCGGCGGCGGCGAGCCGCACCGGCGCGCCATCGCGGCCCTCGCCCCGAGCTTGGAGCACAAACACTGCGTGTCGCCAGGGCAACCGCGCGGCCCCGCCCCCACGTCCGCGGGGAGGGAGGAAGGGACGGGGCGGGGCCAAGGGCGGCGGCGGCGGCGGCGGCGGCGGCGGCGGCCCGGCCGGTTTGCCTGTTGCTGGTGGGCCGCCGGGTGAGAGGCGGGCGAGGGTGCGCGGGCCGCCGAGGCCGGGGACAGCTTCGGGGAGGAAGAGCCGGCAGCCCGCGCCCCTCGTGCCTCAGCCCGGCTCGCCGCCCATCCGGGTGTCCCCCCCCGCGCGCGGGCCTCGCCCCCGGATTTCGCCGCAGATCGCCTTTCCGGCGCGGGGAGTAAGGGGGGGTAGCCAGCTCCGGGCAGCAGCCCGGTTGCCCCGGCAACGCGGGCGTCTGTCTCGGGTCGCGAGGCGCCCTGGGCCGGAGCGGCAGGGGCTGAGGAGCCACCGCGCGGCGGGGCCCCGGCCTTCCAGGGAGTGCGGGGGCGGGGCCGGCCACCTGTGCGCGCCGCCCCCGGAGGAGGGCCGGCCGCCAGCCCGCCCGCCGCTCAGGTCCCGACAGCGCCGATCGCGGAGGAAGCCGTCGGCCCCTCGTCCTTAGAGCGTCCCGCCATGAAGCCCAACTTCTCCCTGAGACTGAGGGTTTTCAACCTCAACTGCTGGTGAGTGCTTTCGGTGGGACCTGGAGCCACAGGAGGAGGCCATGCTGCTCACATCCGGGCCACGGCTCTCCCCTGTCCTACCATCGGGGGGGGAGGGGGGAGGAGGTGGAGGGGGACAGAACACGCACCTCCAAAACCCGCACCTGGCCCCAGCTAGTGGTGTCGGGGGCCCGAGCACCCCCCGCAGCCACCTCCCTGCCCCTTCTGTCCTCAGGGGCATTCCCTACCTGAGCAAGCGCCGAGGAGACCGCATGAAGCGCCTGGGGGACTTTCTGAACATGGAGAGCTTCGACCTAGCTCTGCTGCAGGAGGTGGGCAGAGGGGAAGCCCGGCCGGGAGGAGTGGCGGCTGCAGGCTTTCAAGAGCCAAGCAGACTGCCTTCCTCTCCCTCCTCCTTCCCCCCCAGGTGTGGAGCGAGCAGGACTTCCAGTACCTGAGACAGAAGCTGTTGCCCACCTACCCATCCGCACACTACTTCAGGAGGTGAGAAGCCTGCTGGCCTGCAAGCCTGTTCTCGGACTGGAGGCTCTGGGCCCTGCCAGCCCGGCCCGGCCCTGCCCGCACCCGCCTTCCTCTTCCCCAGCACCTTCTGCCTGGGTGTGGAAGCAAGAGAGGGTGGAACCAGGAAGATCCTAGCTCTTCAGCTCCTCTCAGCCTTATCATCAATCGGGTCGCCTTATCGTTCATCCCCCCGGTGCTTTGAGCCCTGTTCTGGGGCTGTCCCAGCCTGGGACAGACTGAAGGAGCTGATAAGTGCTGAGACAAGGGAAGGGAAGAGGACGGGTTCTTCTCTTCCTGCTTTTCTGGCCGTTAATGAGGACTTGTCTTTCAGTGGCATCATTGGCAGCGGCCTCTGTGTCTTCTCCAAACACCCAATCCAGGAATTCACCCAGCATGTCTACACTCTCAATGGCTACCCTTACATGGTAGGCCTGACCTCTGACCTCTTCCCGACCCCTCAGCCACATGGTAAAGGAGGCAGCAGGGAAGGGCAGCAAGAGGGCAGCAGCGCCCTGAGTTCCTGCCCCGTCCTGTCTGCAGATCCACCACGGTGATTGGTTCTGTGGGAAGGCTGTGGGGCTGCTGGTACTCCATCTGGGCGGACTGGTACTCAACGCCTACGTGACCCATGTGAGTGAAGTGGGCTGGCGTGCTTAGGGCTGGGACAGGTAGCCTGGCCATGGGAGAGAGAGATGGGACTCCTCTAGCTGGACTGCCTGGGGGCGAGGGGTGAGGGCAGGCTCTCCTACAGTCAGCGGGCAAGGTTCGCCCGTTTTTTACCAAGCACCATGCCAAGTGACAGACACAAGCTTAATTTAGACCTTCCCTTGGGACACTCAGTCGGATCTGCTATTAATCTCATCTATCTTGCTCAGCTCCACGCAGAGTACAATCGACAGAAGGACATCTACCTAGCACATCGTGTGGTCCAAGCTTGGGAACTGGCCCATTTCATCCAGTGTGTGAGCCTGGGCTTGACAAGGGAAGTGGGATGGGGTCAGGGGCTGAGGGGTGGCCAAGGCCTCACTCATGGGGCAGAAGCTGGCTAGGGACGAATTCTTGGTCTCACTCAACCGGGTTTCCCCAGCCATACATCCAAGAAGGCTGACGTGGTCCTGTTGTGTGGGGACCTCAACTTGCACCCAAAGGACCTGGGCTGCCGCCTCCTGAAGGAGTGGACGGGGCTGCAGGATGCCTATCTGGAGACCCGGGACTTCAAGGTGAGGGACTTGCCTGGTTATTTCCCCACCTGGATGCCCCGCTGCTTTCCTACTTCCTCTGCATCCTGGCACAGCCCACTGTTCACCTAGGGCTCTGAAGAAGGTTGTACCATGGTCCCTGAGAACTGCTATGTCAACCGGAAGGAACTGCACCCATTTTCCTGTGGCATCCGCATCGACTATGTGCTCTATAAGGTCAGGCCTCTCCCCACAAGGTGTCTTCACCCACCGTGTCTCCTCTCGCTAGCCTGTGTAGATCCTTTGTCCAGTTAATCTAGGCTTAGTTCATTGGTGACCGGAGAATGGGATCGCCAGGAGCTGGTTCTCTGGGAAAACAATGTTTTCTCTCTGGCCCTTACTGTTCTCAGGCAGTTTCCGGGTTCTGCATCTCCTGTAAGACTCTCAAAACTACTACAGGCCTTGACCCGCACAGTGGCTCCCCACTCTCCGATCATGAGGCCCTGATGGCTACGCTGTGTGTGAGACACAGCCCGCCCCAGCACAACCCGAGCTCTACCCACGGTGAGCCACCCCCACCCTTTCCTCTGGTCCCTCCCCACCACAGGGCAGCCCTTCCCCTCTGACCCTCTCTTCCGTCCCATGCCCTGCCCTGTTCTAGGACCGGCAGAGAATTCACCATTGGTTGTGGTGCTGAGGGAGGCTTTGACAGAGCTGGATCAGGCTGTGGCTCAAGCTCATTGGTGGGCCACCTTTGCTGGCTACACGATTGGCCTGGGGCTGCTTCTCTTGGCAGTACTGTGCACCCTGGCAGCTGGAGGAGGGGTCAGGGAAGTTGCCATACTGCTGTGGACCCCCAGTGTGGGACTGCTACTGGGGGCAGGTGCCGTCTACACCTTCCACATGCAGGAGGCCAAGGGCTTATGTAAGGCCCGGGCTGAGCTCCAGCATGTGCTGGGAAGGGCAAGAGAGGCCCAGGACCTGGGTCCAGAGTCTCAGCCAGCCTTGATCCTGGGTCATCAAGAGGGGAGCAGGGCTGAGGACGAATAAAGCTTGGCACTTTGATGGCTCTGACTTTTTTTTTTTTGTAGAGGCAGTGATTGGGGTCAATGGTCACAATCACTGTCACAGAGTAAACTTCAGGCTCCTTCCTACACAGCTGCTCTCCCTACATGTTCCCCCTCCCATCTGCAGGCAGCCTACGTCCTGTGGGTGGCAGAAACGTTTTTATTGTAAACAGTGAGGCTCTCCCGGGCAGCCCTGATGAGCAGGGTGGCACTGTCCTTGGGCGGGATGGTCTTTTAGGGAGGAAGGCAGGTAGCCCAGCCTCCTCTAGCCCTGGGCCTCTGGCCTCGACGCCAGCTCACTGAGCCGGCACTCCTCCTGGAAGCGGATGAGGGCATCTCGCTGGTTCACCACACTCACCAGCTTCTTCAGGATACTCTCCTCAGCCTGCCGATCGGCAGCTGTCTTTAGGCTTTCTGGAGGGAGAAGACGAAGCTTAGAGAACTGGGCAGGGGTGCGAGAGAAGCGCAGCCTCATCCTAGCCTCTGTGATTTCTACAACCTGGCCTCTGTTTCCTAATCTGTAAAATTAGGTCTACCAGCACCAGTGGCCTTTTGCACTGTTTCACAGCGGCGCCGTGTTCAAAGGAAATCCTACACGAAAGCCCAAATGTGCAGCTCTGATTGGACTGAAGGCAGAGTAAGGGCTTGCTGCCCCTTCGTCTGGCTTCCTCAAGTAGCCTTAGAGGCACTCTGACTAGAGGACCATGTTGCTTGGTCAGTATCTGAGATCACAAGGCTCCTGCGAACTCCATCCCCACAGCCTGCATACCTTCCCGGTTCATGTAGCCTCGAAGCTCCTGGTCCAGCTGCAACTGTTTCTCCTCCAGGCTCAGCTCCTGTACCCTGTGGAGGGCAGGGACAGAAGGGGCACGGCTGTCCACGGTGCCCAAGGACTTGGCCGGGGCCTGGCTCATAAGCCACTGCCGCCTCCCATGTCCCTTACTTGATCATGAGCTCAGCCTCCTCAGCCACTAGGCTGTTCTTCTTCTCAACGAGATGCAGCAGCTGTTTTATCCACAGTGCCTTTTGCTCTTCAGGGGAACCTGATGAGAGAGAAGGGGAATGGGTGGTCCGGAGGCCTGCCAGGGCCAGAGTGATTGGGGGGATCGCTGGGGCCTGTACACAGTGCCAGAGGCAAAGGGATATCACAGCTTCTTCCCCGGCTTCACTCACTGCTCTGGTCCCTCAAGGCCAGCTCCACCTTCATCCCCTCGGCCTCCAGCTCCCTCAGAGCGACCTCAATCTCATTTAGGCGCCGCTGGATGCCCTGGGGGAGACGAGAGGAGACCCAGAGATCTGGATTGTTCAAGAAGGGGGCCCTGGAGAAGCTCTGGCCCCAGCCTCACACGTCAGCCCATCAGGACGGGAGCCCGAGGTCCCACCTGGGCCTTGCAGAATCTCTTCATCTCCTCCTCCTTGGCACGGCGCAGCAGGGTCCGCCGCCAAGTGGGGTACTTGTCCAATGTGCCTGAGTTCTTGGCGAAGGTCAGCAGAGCCTATGGCAGGGTCAGACCGTCAGGGGCAGGGCCCCGCCTCTTGGTGGACGGGGGTTGGGGAAGATTGGGCTGGAAGTGGGATGAGTTCTGGTAGAAAAGATGGGAGCTTAGGGCTATGAAAGAGTCATTCTGGGGGTGGAGACCTTCCAAGAACAGGGTTCAGAGGCATGAACAAGCTGTGGGTTTCCCTGTGGTGGAGGGGGGTGGGGGTTGGTGTGAGCAGAATAGGTGGCCAGGTTTCTTCCACTCACCTGTTCCATGTCTAAGTCCAAAGCCACGTCTTCTTCTTCCTCTTGTTCCTCTTCACTGGAGGAGGGGTTCTCTTCCTCCTCCATGTCCATAAGAACTGAGCAGAGAAGTAGACATGACCTAGGGTCCCCCATCTCCCTTTCCATTCCCCAGCATTCCCCTCCAGGGATCCCAGCACCACCTGCCCATCCCCACCCTGGGTCAGCACCCCCACCCTGGGAGGAGCAGTTACCTTGAGGGTTCTGGATTGGCACTCCCCATCCCAGGAAGCTGCCCTCCAGGGCCTGGCGGGCCAAGGCAGAGCAGCTGCGGGGGGGCTTGGGTGGAGCCTCCGTTTCCGGGTCAGGGGTCAGTTTAAGGGAGGACAGCCTCTCCCGCTCTGGGCTGGAGAGGCGGATCAGCCGACGGGTGGGCTGGTTGGGGCCTGGGACAGGACTAGCCCCCTCCTGGGGGGCCGCGGGAGTCGAGGGGCCGGATGGCATGTTATCCTCACCTGGAACGGGGAGGTCCTAGAAAAGCCACCGTGCGGTCTGTCAGTGGCCTGCAGGGTGGAGGCTACCCCTTTAGACAAACGTGGGCCCTGGAATTCACTCATTTACTGGGCAGTGTCAGACAGTGTTCTGAACAGTTGGGCTGCAGCAGTGAGTGGAACACAAACCTACATTCTGGTGGAGGACATTCAGTCACCCCCAGCCAAGTCCTCTGGGCGTGGCGAGACGCTGTCCCACGTTCCCGTCCCCAGCACACACACACAGCCTTTACCTGACTTTTGGGGCCTCTGTCGTTGCCATCCTGTGTGTGGCCTGGCTGGGGCAGGTGCTGGAGGCAGTAGAAATGTCCTGGGGAGGTTCGAGACGGGGGGAGACATCAGACAGAAGCAGCACAATGCCTAGAGACTCCCATTTATCAGGGAAGGTGGGGTGATAGGACTCGATTTGCAGGTGAACTTGTTAGCCTTCTGATTCCTTAGAACCCCACGTGTGGGGTTTTGGAGGACACAGATATGGGCTCAGGGGAAGCAAGGGCCATCTTGAGCCTGTTTCCACCTCAGGCCCAGCACTCCAATTCCCCTCCGCCTTCAGACTCCTTGCCTCCAGGCAGGGCCATGCCTCAGTCCCTCTCGGGGCCTCCTGGGCCCACTCACCATCTTCTGGGTGCTGTCCGTAGCTACCTGGCCACAACGTGGCCTCACAGACATGGCAGCAGAAGCAGCTCCGGTGGTAGAAGCGGCCGTTGGCACACAGGCGTTCCAGGATATAGAGGCGTTCCCCACAAAGCGCACACAGATCCTCGCCACCGGCCTGCACCCATCCCCAAGCCACAGGGTCAGCTGGAAAGTCTCCCCGATCCCTGAAACACCCTCCCTGACCTCAAGCCTCCGCCTGCAGGCAGGCCCCCCATTCTCACCTCCTGGCTGTGTGATGGGGGTGTCAGGGGTACGCCGGCCTCTGGGACAGGTGGCTCCTCAGTACTGGAGGTCTCAGCCTCTACCTAAGGAGGGAAGTGTTCAGGCTGGGAGGGAGAGGTAGAGGCAGGATCAGCCGGGGAGAGGGGTGTGCAGATGAATAGGAAGGGCTGGAAGGGAAGGGAAGTGAGACTAGGAAGGGAGACCACAGAAGGGGGTGTGGGGGGAATCATACATGGGGGCACAGGACATGGGGAAGTGTCCCGGGAAAAGGACGGGAACACGGGACAGGACTGTCCGGCCCTTGCATGTATTTACCTCCAGGCGTGGCTTCTTGCCACCCACATCCTCTCCGTTTTCCTGTAACAAGTCCTACACTCAGCATGGGGATCTGCACCTCCAGTCCTCCCCTTCCCCCATCACCCCATGATCCCAGTAGGAACCACAGCCCAGACCACCTGGGCCCGGGTCCGCTGCAGGGTCCTCTGCAGTTTGCCAAGGAACAGCACAGCACTGGAGGTCCCCAGGGCGCCTTGGCTGGCAGGGCCTGCAGGAAGGGTCCGGGTGTAAGGGTCGATGGGGCTATACTGTGCCCCAGAATAGATCAACCACACTCCAGCCCAAAGGGACACCTCTCCAGGCTGTCCCTCAGACGGCATCCTCTCCTCTGTCTCTCTCTCTCTCTCACACACACACACACACACACACACACACACACACACACACCTTCTCCCACCCTCCAGTTCACCTGGGTTGTGGCTTGTGCTTTTGAAGGCACTGTGGAAGTGGCTGAGGTAGGCGATGAGGCCCAATGGGTCACTTCCGGCCACCACTGCCTGAGCGGACAACACGGGTGTGATGCCCAGTTCATGTTCTGCCATCTTCAGCGCCCAGCCCGTCGCTTCCAGAGCCCCCACTCCCTGCAGCTCTGAGGGTTCCCTGTGGGCATCAGGGAGAGAAGCCAATGGGAGATCAGAACCTGACCCCATCAGAGGGGGAGATGGTGGGTATAGGGACAGTGGGAAGGGCTGGGGGAGTGCAAAGGCAGAAGATGGAAGAGTTATTCTTGTCTGTACTATGACACCACCACCACCACCACCACCACCACCACCATGATCCAAGGACAACCTCTGGCTTGGGGATCTCTATCACTCTCAGAGCTGCCCCTGTTGGATGCATGTGATTCTTACAAATTCTCAGGCAGCAGGGCAGGCAGATTCAGGCAGGAATACTATCCCGAGGGAGGGGAACTGGCTTGGGCAAGTGGTGGTGCTGGGACTCAGCTGGGTGTGCTAACTCCACACAGTGATCTCCCCACATCCCATAATGCCTAACGTAGAGGGAGGGGCAGGGTGTGAAGGAGAGGTGTGGTCTGCCAGGGACTTCTGAGTGACTCACAGAAGGCCAGGCCGCAGGCGGTTCACCAGGGCACACAGAGCCAGCCCATCAGCCCAGGAGGAAGAAAGGTTGGTGACATGGACGCCAGGGTAGCCAGCCGTCTGCTCCTGGCACCAGCGTAGCAGTTCCTCCTGTGTGCCCGCTGACCCTGGGAGAGGAGGGTGTGCTGTGCCCCAGGCCTCTTGGCTCGCAGAGAGCCTGTTGCTAGGGTGTAGTTGGTAGGAAAATGGAGGCAGGGCTCCACTTCTATGAGGGGACCAACCTAACACCATCAGCAGTTGGTCTCCTATGAGGGGACCAACCTAACACCATCACACCAATTTTCCCATAAAAAAAAAACAAAACAAAACACCCTTTTCTGGAATAAAGTGAGGGAATGAATAAGGGGACATCACTGCTAGCCACATGGACGGCAGCAGGCTATGAACTGAGGCC